GAGGGGATGTTGATGTGCAGCTGAAAGACTTCACAGGTTAACTTCTTCCTTAACCCACATGATCTACTTCTATTACAGACTCAAAACTTGTTTCCTGAGCAAGTCTTGAAACTATGGTTGATTTTTGACAGCGGATCTGTCAATCTCAGGTGAAAATGAGTACAACAGAATAGTCCGTTTTGATATATAAGAGTATGAACAAGTCTGTTCACGTTTTGCACAGTACCTTGCATTCTGTGAGTGCTTAATAAATGGGCGGGAGTTTTCATTTGAAACATATTTGAATTTTTAAAACAAGAGATTTTGTTCCTTTAGGGCAGGGGTGGGGAACCTTCTTTAATGCCAAGGGCCATTTGAATATTTATAACATCATTTGCGGGCCACCTAAAATTATCCATTTAAAACTTAGCCTGCAGGGCTGGTGCTGTGGCGTAGCCTGTGAAGCCACTGTCTGCAGTGCTGGCATCCCATATGGGCTCCAGTTCGAGTCCTGGCTGCTCTACTTCTGATCCAGCCCTCTGTTATGGCCTGGGAAAGCAGTAGAAGATGGCCCAAGTCCTTTGGTCCCTGCATCCGTGAGGGGGACCCGGAAGGAGCTCCTGGCTCCTGGCTTTGGATCGGCGCAGCTCCGGCTGTTGCGGCCAATTGGGGAATGAACCAGAGGATGGAAGACCTGTCTTTATCTCTCTGCCTCTCCCTCTCTCTGTGTATTAACTCTGCCTTTCAAATAAATAAATAAATCTTTTTTTAAAAAAATCATTTGGTCCAGGGACTCAATCCAGGCCTCCCATGTGACTGAAAGGGATCTAAATACATGTACCACCACTTGCTGCCTCCCAGGGTGCACATTAGCAAGAAACTATGATGGAGAGCAGAGGCATGGACTTGAACTCAGGCACTCTGATATGGAGTGCTGAGCCCTAAGTGCTGCGTTAACTGCTGCACCAAACGCCATTCCCAAAGCAGGGGTGGGGAGTGTCCGGTGGGCTATATTTATAAGCCTGCAAGAATCATTTGGTCCAGGGGGCTGGTGCTGTGGCATAGCAGGTAAAGCCGCCGCCTGCAGTGCCAGCATCCCATGTGGGCACTGGTTTGAGACCTGACTCCCAACTTCTGCCTCGCCCAGCCCTGGCTATCCTGGGCATTTGGGGCGTAAACCAGCAGATGGGAGATTTTGCTCTCTACCTTTCAGAGAAATAAAATTAAATAAATAAAATAAGGGGCCAGCCTTGTGGCACAGTAGGTTAGGCTGCGGCCTACAGTGCTGGCATCCTATATGGGTCTTGGCTGCTCCACTTCTGATCCAGCTCCCTGCTAATGCGCCTAGGAAAGCAGCCAAAAATGGCCCAAGTCCCTGAGTCTCTACACCCATGTGGGAGACCTGGAAGAAGCTCCTGGCTCCTGGCATCAGCCTGGCATGGCCCTGGCAGTTGTGGCCATTTGGGAAGTGAACCAGCGGATGGAAGAGCTCTCTCTCTCTCTCTTTGTCTCCCTCTCTGTAACTCTACCTTACAAATAAATAAACTTTAATAAGTAAATTAATTAATTTTTTTTTATTCCTTGAGCTGGTGTTGTGGCACAGTGGGTTAAGCTACTGCTTACGTAATCAGCATCGCATATTGGAGCACTAGTTTGAGTCCCAGCTGCTCTGCTTCTGATCAAGCTTCCTGCCAATGTGCTGGGAAGGAAACCCAAGGGCTTGGGCTCCTGCCACCAATGTGGGAGACCAGGATGGAGTTCCTGGCTCCTGGCTCCACCCCAGCCAAGCCCAGGTTGTTGCAGCCATTTGGGGGAGTGAACCAGCAGATGAAAGATCTCTCTCGGGGTGGGCGCTGTGGCGCAGTAGGTTAATCCTCTGCCTGAGGTGCCAGCATCCCATATGGGCACCAGTTCTAGTCCCAGTTGCTCCACTTCCAATCCAGCTCTCTGCTGTGGCCTGGGAAAGCAGCAGAAGATGGCCCAAGTCCTTGGTTCCCTGCACCCACGTGGGAGACCGGAAAGAAGCTCCTGGCTCCTGGCTTTGAATTGGTGCAGCTCTGGCTATTACTGCCATTTGGGGAGTGAACCAGCGGATGGAAGACCTCTCTCTCTCTGTCTCTCCCTCTCAGTGTCTGTAAATCTACCTCTCAAATAAATAAAAATAAAATAAGAAAAAAAAAGAAAGGTAACTTTATCTCCTTTTTTCTCTCTGTTGCTCTGCCTTTTAAATAAATAAATAAATAAATCTTTCAAAAAATACTTTTATTAATTTTTTACAAATTCCCCCCAAACCAAGTGCGTCTAGAGCACAGATATCCCTGGAGCCAGAGGGTGTGCTGCCCCTGTCACACAAACGCAAGCCCTGGCTGATGTTCGGTGTAGTAGTTCCCTCTTACCAGAGGCTTCCCCTCCCCATTGGCTGTGGTTAGAAAATACCAGGTTGCAGAAGTACACAAGTCGTAAGCTCTAAGTTGACACTGATCTGACTCAATCAAGACTTCAATGATGAAGTCTCAGCTGTCCAGCGAATGCACACTGCATATACCACCTGCCCAACAGGCACTCAGGAGCCATCTTGGACACCAGACCCACTGTGGTGGTACAGAGTGCTTGTGTTCAGGTAGCCCTTATATTACTTAGCAACGGCCCCAAAACACAAGACCAGTGATGCTGGACATTTTATTACATTATATTATATTTGCTCTATTTTATACTTGGTAATTGTTCATCTCCTATCGTAGCTAAGTTACAAATTAAGCTTTGTCTTAGTTATGCATGTATAGGAGAAAACAGTGTACACAGGACTTGGGACTATCTTGGTTTCAGAGGTCCACTGGGGTCTCAGAGCGTGTTTCCCAAGGACAATAGGGGACCGCTGCATGGAACAAGCATTGACTATCCACTGGTTGTCTGTCGGATGCCAACAATGGTGCTCATGTGTTACCAGGGTGACCACACTATACCTCTGGCTGCCTGTCGGATGGCAACAATGTGCCAGTGTGTTCCCAGGGTGACCACATCCAGATGAGTGTCAGTAACTGGGATCTGACCAAAAGGCTCTGTCCTTCTTCAAGGCCATTTTTCTTCCACTCTGGCCACACAGAGTGTGACTCACCTGCCTCGTTCAAACTGTTGATAGGGCCACTAATAATTCCTGTGCAGAATGAAGAGCTATTTCCAGTCTATGTTCTTGATTGTGAAGGAGAGCTCCAGAGCCTTCCATTTAGCTCTTCAGGATCCTGCCTCCGATGAGAGGGAAGCAACTCTACACAGCAGTGCAACCACCACGCCGTTTCAGAACACCACTGACCTGCACCCAAAATGTTCTACGGCTGTGTACCAGGAGCTGGCGCTGTGGCGTAGTGGGTTGAGTCTCTGCCTGGGACCAGTGCTGTGGAACACTGGGTTAATGCCCTGGCCTGAAGCACAGGTGTCCTATGTGGGTGCCGGTTCGAGGCCTGGCTACTTCACTTCCAATCCAGCTCTCTAATATGGCCTGGGAAAGCAGTAGAAGATGGCCCAAGTCCTTGGGCCCCTGCATTTGTGTAGGAGACCCGGAAGAAGCTCCTGGCTTCTGGCTTCAGACATGCCCAGCTCCTGTTGTTGTGGCCATTTGCAGAGTGAACCAGTGGGTGGAGGAACTCTCTCTCTCTCTCTCTCTGTAACTCTGCCTCTCATGTGCATATATTACATACAAAAACAAAGGGAGGGGGAAATCCTTTTTTTACAACTACACATATAATTATTAAATTTTAAAAAATGCATTTTATTTATTTGAAAGGCAGAAACACACAAAGAGAGAGGCAGATCTCCCTTCTACTGGTTCACTCCAAACGCCTAACAGCCAGGGCTGTGCCACGCCTAAGCCAGGAGCTCAGAGCTCAGGCCGCATCTCCCACGTGGGTGGCAGGCACCCAAGACATCTCCTGCTGCCTCCCGGGGTGAACTTTAGCAGGAAACACCCCGGCAGCTGGAGCGTGGGCGTCCCAAGCCTGGGCCCAACCGCTGCGCCAAACGTGCACCTCATCACTATGCCATTCTGAAGGCTCCTTTGTGTCCTCCAAACCCTCTCTGCTCACTTCTTGAGCAGGAGCCCGGGCACCCGCACTGATCAAACCGGCGTGGCTCGCCCCCGCCGACTCAGGCAGAGCCAGCCGCGTCTGGAACCCGCTGTCCCCGCACGCTGCCCACATGGGCCAGGAGCGCCGGCTGGAAAATGTCCCGCAACCTTCTCTATACAAGGTTGGCGACCAAATGGGATAACTCGTTACCCGCTTCTCTGTGTTAAGAGAGGAGTCAAGTGAGGAGTGTGAAAGTACCGCAGAAATGAATTCACTCATCCATTTAACGGGCAATTATTAAGCGCCTAAGGGCACATGGACCACCACAGCCTCGCCCACGTTCCCCTCGCAGGTCGCTAGCTCCAGTCCCGCCATGGGGAGGGCGTCTCCCCACGCCCCGCTTTTCTCCCACGGAACTCCGGGTGATGACCTTATTCAAAATGGCGCTGGCAGCCTCGGGGGCTAATGCGGCGGCGCGGACTCCGCGTGCCCTCTGACCTGCTGGCAGCGGGTGGAGGGGAGCCGGGCGCCGCCATATTGGCTGTTGTCCTGTGTGGGGAGCGGCGGCGGCGGCGGCGGCAGCGGCAGCGGCGTGAACGAAGCGAGGGAGCGGCAACGCGGCAGCATGACTCGGAGGCGTAGCAGGCCCAGCGGCGGCGCGGGCCGGCGCGAGCGGGCGCGGGCCACGGGGCTGCAGAAGCCCCAAGCGCCCGAGCCCCCGCCGCCGCCGCCGCCGCCACCGCCGCCGAGCCTAGAAGCGGGAGCGGGTGCAGGGCCCCCGGAGGCGCCAGCCGAGCCCGACCGCGACGGCCTCAGGGAGGAGGACGAGCCCCAGCTGGCGCCCGGCCCGCAGGTAGGAGCGAGCGAGGCGATTCCGGCGGCTCCGGGCTTTCATCTTCCCGGAGCGGGGCGGGGCGGGACCGGGACCGGGGCCGGGGCTGGGATTGGGATTGGGATTGGGATTGGAGCTAGTCGGGGGCTGAGGCTGTCTCTCCCTGGGCAGGAGTGGAGAATGGACCCTTCTCCCCAGAGGCGAGGCTCTGCCCGTCCTCCTACGACCAGGTTGAAGCCGTTCCCCACTGCCAGAGGCTAAACGTTCTGGCTGTCCACCCACCCCGGGACTGGGCTGTGATCCCGAGGCCACAGCTCAACTATGCGCCCGCCACCTCCCTCGGCCCACCTGCACCCCCACCTGCCCACAGGCCGTCTCCGGGCGCTGGAGCTTGCAAGGCTGCAGTCCCTGGCCTCTCCCATTGGGAGCAGCTCCACTCCTTCCCCCGCACTGCCTGCAGCCACTGGCCCCTGAGCAGCTGTGCCCCTGGCATCCAGAGCGTTTGGAGCAGATAGCATTTGGTGGGGTTCCTGCCCTGAGGTGAAACCTGCCCTCTCTCCCCAGTACCCATGTCCCACAAGGCGGCCCACTCCGACCCTCAGATCCCTGGTTTGGCGAATCCTGCTGAAAGGGAGCAGTAGGAGGATTCTCCAAAGCTTCCAGCTTGCCACCTGGAAGAAGGTCACATTCTTTTGATCACAGGAGATAATAGGAGGTACCCTGCCAGTGTTCACATAGAGGCGGGGTTGGCACGGGCCACAATTGCCGTGGGAGGGTTGTGGCCCCCGGGGCGGGTGGCTCGCCCTCAGCTTGCTCTGACAAAAGAGTTCTGAGTTGGTCTTTTGGCTGAGCCTGCAGAAGGAGGCAGGCTCCTGCAGGAGTCTTGGAGGGTCGGATGCAGCGCCGGATGAGGATGAGGCGTGGCGGAAGATGCGTTTGGCTCTGCAGACACTGCATCGGGCAGCAGGGGACTCTGGGAGGCTGGTGCAGCCAGAAGGCATGGCTCTTGACAGCCTTCTAGTAGAATCTCTGGAATTGTGCATGTGAGTGGGGATGCCGCTTGGGGTCCCTTTCCCAGAAAGCCTTCCCTGACCTCCCCGGTTAAGGCAGGCACCCCGTCCGTGTCCACAGCTCTCTGCTTCCCGCTGGTAGCTCTTGATGTTTCTGTCCCGGCACTGGACTGTGAACTCCACGGGGACTCAATGTCTTCCATCTCTGATCCTTCACGCCTAGCCCAGAGCCTTGCTGATACGGGGTAGAAATAACTAGGAGAATGAGAACGCATGACTCAGTCCAGGACCTGGGCTGATTGTAACCCAGTTTCTCTGCTGGTCTCCTTTGGGTCTCAGATCACATAGAGGTTTTTAACTAATGAAAACCACCACTAATTAAGAGTCAGAAAACTGACTTCCTACACCCCCTCCCCCAGGGAGATACCCAGGTTGGACCCCACACCTCCTGGGTCCTGCTTCCAACCCTGGGGCTGCTTCCCCTTCTAATCAACAAGGGGAGAATAAGGGGCCCCGGGGAGCTGACATTGTCTCCTTCCAGTTTGGCCCATATAACATTTTAGGGTCCCTGCCACATAGAGGAGCCAAAAAGCTTGGCTGAAGACTTGACCGTTCCATTTTTATTAAGGTCATGCCTTTTCCCAAGTGCTGTTAAGCTCCATTCACTCCGTGTACCTACCCCACTGCTTGACCTGCTAGTTGATTCATTTATTCATGCCAGGCACTTCACACACCTTACCTCTAGCTTCCTGCCACCCGGCTATTTCTCCCCAGTGTTTAGCACAAATGTGGAGTTGACTATTGATCGAATGATTCGTCTGCTTTTGTATATAAACCATGAGAGCGCAGGAAACATCTCAGTCACCATTGTAGCCCTTAGCCTGGTGATTAACAAACTAAATTAACAAAGGATCTACCTATTATTACCCTATTTTTCAGATGAAGAAACAGAAACCCAGAGCAGCTAAACAAATGACTCCCACTATAGGTTTCAGGCCAAAAAGCCACTGCCCAAATGACTCCCACTGCAGGTTTCAGACAAAAAAAAAAGGATGGGGGGGAACCCACTTCAGAGTACTTTGGGGGATTTTTACAAGGTATTTAAAAAAGAAAAAAAAAAGAAACACAGCTACAGAGGTGAAATAAACGGGCAAACTCTGTTCTGACTGTGCCCCACTGTGGATGCAGGCATGCCTTTGATGGGGATCTCTGGCTCCCACAACCCTCATAACCCTGTCTTATGTCCACAGAGCAGGTAAAGGAGACAAAATACAATGCCAGGTGCCGAACCAAATCCAAAGGCAGCAAATGAGACCACTTCCAGTCCACAGACTTGCGATGAGGTCTCAGTATACACATTGTTCTGTTTAATTTTTATTTTAACTTGAGTCAATATTTTGAAAACTACAAGGTTTCTCACAGGTCTGGTTTTGTGCCTCTTCTTAAAACTCTATAAACATCTGGCGATGCTGGGTCCAAACCCACCAGGCAGTCACTGCAGTCTGGGCAGCATCTGCCTTCGTTGGGTCCCATGATCCCACAGGCCTCGCTGGTTCTCTTTCAATGACCCAGAGGTGTGCAAGGTTAATTAGGGTTCCCAAAGGCTGTCCTTCTGTTGTCTCAGGCCACTAAGCCACATGAAGCTGTTCACTGAGAACCCAAATTTTCTTTAATGATGTAACAAGACCAAAACAGGTGCTGCCTTATTAGTGCGGGAAGAACAAAACCAGAAAGCAACTTAAGCAGCAGTCGAGGGAGGGAAGGTGCAGGCAGGGTTGAACTCCCAGCGCGCTCTCCCACCTTGGTGGCTGTGGGCCCATTTCCCCCTCTCAACCTCATCAACAACTGTACAAGAGTGTGAAGCAGCCCACTGAGACCTAGGAAGCAGAGGCACTTCCCCAAGAGGTGTCGGGGCTGTGCCAGTGGGACATCCGCAGCTGAGTGCCCTCGCCTGCCAGCCCTGCCCGCTGTCTTTGGTCTCTCTTGGACCATTCAAGAGTCCAGGTGCACAGTGAGCCCCTAGGAGACTTGCTAGACTATACACCAGTACTGGGGCAGGTGTGGAGACATCGTGTGGGCTCAGCTTACCCTTCTCCACCTCGTGTTCCCCTCCTCTAAGCACTCTGCAGCATCCCCTGGGACTTTGCCCAGGCTCGTTTAAAGGGACTCTTGAGACCCAGTTCTTCCATTGCTCAGAGTAAAGCTGCTCCCTCAAGGAATTGGAGCAGGTGATCAGTCAGTGTCTTTATTAAAACCATCTCATTAAGTGTAATTCACTCAGCAAGCATCAAAATGACCTCTGTGCCAGGGCCTTTATTTGGGGCACAGGTGGATGAGGTAGGCCCTGTCCTCGGGGGCCTTCCCCTTATAATCCCTGCCCACCCAGCCTGCGCCACTTCCATTGCCCTTGGAGGGAGTGATACAGAACAGGGGATCCTGCCAACTCTGCTGCTTTTTTGTCAGCCAGTAGAAACTGCAGAAATGCCAAAGGTTTTAAGATGACCCATCCACTCAGGGTTTTCAGTTTTTTATTTCCTTAAAACGCCCCTGAGCTATAATCTCAATGTCTGATATCAGGTGGATGATTAGGATCCTAACGCTCTCATTTACTACACCTAGCATTTTTGAGAGCAGGGATTTTAAGTCATTTTTAAGGTATGTGCTGTACATGGTTCTTAAACTATAATAAGAGAAGTTAGACTTCTCCCACTTTGCTCTTACCTGCCCCTACTGCTTTGCCAGGCTGGTGGCCACCATTTAGGCCAGCCATTGCACACATGCTGTGATACCCTGGCTTCCTCTCGCCTGGCGTTTGTGTATTGTGCAAACTAAGTGACCCCTCATCTGTCCCAGGTCCTGGGCTAGCTGGGAATGCAGGGAGGAATCAGACACAACCCTTGCCCACCAAGAGCTTTTAGTCTGGAGAATATGTATATGATAACTGCGTTGATGCTGGAAGAAGGTATAACTTCTGCATCCTCTGAGTCCTGGGTCCTAATAAATGACCTTTGGAAGTGTTTCAGCCTCTCCATTTGTTTCCTTAGGCACAGGGATGACAGTGAATCCAGGCTCACAGGGTCAGTGGTAGGGTCCAGCAGTACAAGTACCATGTGTCATGTGCTTCGCACAAGTGGGAGCTGTGATCAGTGGTGGCTGTGGATGCTTGGCACTGAGCATGCCCACGACATGGTGACCTCAAGGATAGGTCAGGGAAGGCTTCTCAGAGCCTGCAAGGCTGAGCACAAGTTCTCCAGGGGACAAGGCAGGAGAAGGTGTCTTAACCAAGGGATGATAGATACAAAGACCCAGAGAGGACAGCTGCCCAGCTCATTTTTAGAGTGCTGGGAGATCAGGCTGAAGAGGTTAGCAGGTTTGGGCTGCATCCTGTAGGCAGAGACGAAGCCATGAAAGGTTTTAAGAAGGAAAGTGAACACAAAGTTCTTTCTGATAGCAGGTAAGGAGGTAATTCTCTGTGGGAAAGGCAGTAGTGACTGCTTGATGCCATTTGTCCCTCAACCCAGCCTGGCTGTCATAGCCTCTGCTTTGCTGGGCACTGTCAGACCTGAAGAATGTGCCTCCAGGCCTGGATCTCAGGAATCTATTGTTGTCCAGTTGCCCCAGGTGATTCTGAGTGTGGCTGGATCTGGAAACTGAAGAGTTGAGGAGGCCCAGAGTGTTCCTCAAAGAATGGGACTCCCCAGGGAGGGCTTTTCCACAAGCAGGCATAGGAACACCCTTAGTTTAAGAAGAAACATGCAACCTTCCTGCAGTCCTCCAGGTGTCCTGTGAACAGAATGCTCCAGCTGCTAAGATTCCGTTGTGTGCCCAGTTCTCCCCCTGCCCACTGTGTGCCGTAGCCTCTGCTACAAGACAGGAACACAGTGACTCATGGGACATAGGCTTTGCCCTTGAAAAGTCATTTCTGTGGAAAGGATGGATTTCAACCACTAGAATCATCTCTTCCAGCAATATGTTTAAAAAGTGTTAGAACATTCCAGAACAAAGTCCAGTTCATTCTACCTGGGACGGAGGAGGAGGAGGCAGAGAGCAGCATGCATGGTGGTGTGGCTGGGCAAAGGGATGTCTCACTGTCCTCCAGGGCAGGCTGTGGAGAGGCTGAGGAAAGACATGCTCCGGGGGGAGTGCCCTGGGTTTGTGTCCTCCGGTTCCATCGCCATGCTCTCACCCTCATCGTTCTCACTGCAGGCTGCCCCCAGCTGGACAGCTGTGCGTCCTGTAGCCTGTGGAGGAAATGCCGCAGACCCATAGGCCACCGCCTCCGAGTCCCTACTCAAGGCTCTTAGCTCCCTTGGTGATTTCCTTCTCCATTCTGAAATGAGTAATTTCTGAAAAGTGGCCTATGGAAACAAAGGTGGAAAGAAGGGCCCCAGGGACTTACTAGGGAGTTACAGTCATGTTATATAATGTGGACCTGGGGGTTCAAGGAGGCCTTGAGGGTCACTTGTCTAGTCTTCTATCCTGTGCTTCAAGAAATAAATTTGGTTTGGGCAAGTCTCACTTAGTAAGTTTCCCTGTCATTTCTTCCAGGGCAGAAGAGGAAAGAAACTAACGGGTATTGAGCACCTACTGTGTGCCAGGCCCAGGCCAGGTACTTTACGTAATTTATTTCCTTCTGTCCTCACAACTCTGTGAAGCATGGTTTTATTCCCATTTCAGGAGTGAGGGGATTAAGGCTTAGATAACTGGGTACTGTTAAGAGTCTGCTGAAGGGAAGAATTGGGATTTGAACTCACAGCTGTGTTGTCTCCAAAGTTCATGCTCTGCATCCCTGCCGTGTGAAAGCTGTGCTTGGGTTAGAGTAGCGGAGTGGCAGTTGGCCTGAGGATGCGGGGGACTCAGCAGCGTGGGCCTTCTAGTGGCTTCTTGCACCAGGATGTCAGCCTTGTGGGGGTGGAGGCTCACTGCCCTGTCCTCGACTCGACTGTACACCCAGAGAGGTTCCTCCAGACTGGCTTTGTGGTGTGAAGCAGCTGTTCCACCTCCCGCGAGGGCTTGAGCCCACACCCCAGTGGGAATTTGCTCCAGGGCACTGAGGGGAGTTGTCAGCTCCTGAGAGTTACCTGCAGCTCTGGCTGCCGGCCTCAGGATGGTCTGCAGTGTCTTAGTTCAGATGGCCCTCTCATCAGGGACTCAGTGATACAGCCTGCCTGTAGCACAGCATGCTGGGGAAGGGGTTGGTGTGGCTGTCCTTTGTGTCAAGCAGCTGAGACGTGTGCCAGATGGACTGTAATCCTGTGTGTGTGCATTCATTCATCCAGTGAATGCCTGCTATGTGCCAGGCCCAGGACAAGCCCAGGTTCCTGGGCATACTTAGATGACCAAGATCCACTCTCTGGCCCCAAAGCACTCACATTCTACCAGCGACTCTGCACAGAATATATTTATGGCATGCTATGGTAGGTGCTGTACTAAAACAATGAGTTCTCCTTAGCCTGCTCTAGCAAAAGCTTCATTGACCCAGGATCTTAGTGGATGAGTTAAGAATTTGCCAAGGAGTAAATGTTTCCCAGCACTTAGTACAATGGTTGGCACAAATGGGGGCTCTGAGGAATATTTGTTGAGTAAAGGAACAAATCGATACTTGTAAGAATGAATGACGGTAGCTGGCCTGGTGAGTTTTTTCTAGGCTAGGGAGGAATCATTTTCTCTGCTTTTCAAAGGGAATTTTAGCTACTGTTGTTGTCTTCTGCCTGCCTTGGTGACCAGGAACCCTTGGAGTTGGGTGCCTTGAGAGAACAGAGAGCTCTAGCCCCAGGGCAGCTGGGTGGGTACAGCATGTGTCTTGGGGAAATCCTGGACAAATGTACACAGACCCTTGGGACTGAAAGGAATCCATAGGAGGAATGAGACCAGAATGAGTGCTGAAATTCAGTCTAGCTTCTGAGCAGTCCTTGGCAGCTGTCTTGTCTGGTGACCAGGGTAATTCTCTGACTTTCCAAATGGTGGGCCCAAGGCCAAGGTGGAACATCAAGTAATGCCACCAACGAGCTGTCCAGAGTGTGCTGCGAGCTGTGATTGTTGTTACCAGTACTGCCTAATGCACAGCCATGCTGACAAGTGCCACAAGAGACTGTCCAGATCAGCAACTCCTGCAGTGTTTAATCTTGGGACCCCTTTGCATTCCTCAGAATTATTGAAGATCTTGTATTTATATTGTGTATATCTTGATATTTACCAAAGTAAATATTAAAGCTGAGAAAGTTTAAAAATAATCACTAGTACATTTAAGAATAAAACTATCATAAATAATTTCTTATAAAAAATAACTTTTCTAAAATAAAAATTTAGAATAGTCTAGTTTTCATTTTTGCAAATTTCTTTTTATCTATCTCAATAGAATAAGGCTAGATTCTCATATGCCCCTGTATTCAGTCTGCTGGAATACACTATTATGGTTGAAGAATATGAAAAAAAAATCCAACCTCACATAGACATATAGTTGGGAAAGGGAAAAGTATTTTAGTAGCCTTTCAAGATGATTTTCTTCTTTGAAATCTGAGACCTATCAGTGAAGGTTTTTTACTCGTTTATATTAAAATCCATTGGTTTGTTTAGCACTTCATTTTCATTTTATTTGAAAGGCAGAGAAACAGAAAGAGACAATCCACTGATTGACTCCCCAGGTGCCCACAACAGCCAAGGCTGGACCAGGCTGAAGCCAGGAGCCTGTAACTCAGTCCAGGTTTCCTGTGTAGTGGCAGGGTGCGCATTAGCAGGAAGCGGGAATCAGAAGTGGGGCCCCGTGTTAAACCCGGAACTCGAGTATGTGGTGCAGTGTTCCAGGCAGGTGGTAGCTGGAAGTGGGGCCCCATGTTAAACCTGGAACTCGAGTATGTGGTGCAGTGTCCCAGGCAGGTGGTAGCTGCCACACCAGCGCTCAGGACACCTGCCCACCCCCGCACATGTGCTGTAAATGGATCCTTGACCACTGACTTTGTAATATGCTCCTGTCATTTGGGAAATAGGTTCACTGATCATCCAAATGTTTTCCCATCCTATTTTCTGATACCAAGAGATAATGTGTTAATGTCACCATCAGTTTCATCAGCAAAGTCTTAGGAAGCTGTCAGGCTCATTTGGTGGTGGTCACAAGCTTTCCAAACTCCAGCTTCCATCAGAAAGCTTGAATTTATCATTGACCACAAGTAGTTGTTTTCCTTGAGATGATGGGCTCATTTTGTTTATTTTTTGAGTATATATCTTTGCATTAGCAAATGTCTGCATTAGCAAGAAGCTGGAGTCCGGATCTGGAGGTGTGCATCTGATATGGGATATGACCATCTTAACTGCTAGGCCAAACTGCTGAGAACTCCTGGATATAATAACTGCAGATACTGGCCCCATTCTTGGGTTCTGGCTCCTTCTACTCTGGGGATGTAATCTCCTGCAAGGAACCCTACACTCTCCAGAGGAAGTTCTGGCATTGCTCAGAGTAAATCAGAATTATCTTGGTGCATTTTGGGACAGATCCCAAACCAGCAGAACCTCTAGAACTTTTCCTTGCTTTTCTCCTGTCTTTTGCCTGAGCCTGCTCCTGTACCCTCAGCAGCTCTGAAATTTAAATTGAGGTGAGCTTGAACAGTTAGTTGTTGCCCTGGGCTGCTGGTTTTTTGTTTTGGTTTATTTATTTATTTATTGAAGGTCAGAGTTACAGAGAAAGAAGCCAGGGAAGAGAGAGATCTTCCATTCACTGAGGTTCACTCCTCAGATGGCCGCAATGGCCCCTGCTGAGCTAGGCCAAAGCCAGTAGCTAGGAGCTTCATCCAGGTCTCCAACTCAGGTGGCAGGAGTGGACCATCTGCTGCTGCTTTTCCCAGACTATTAGCAGGGAGCTGGATCAGAAGTGGAGAAGCCAGAACAGGAACTGGCGCCCATATGGGATGCCAGCATCAGTCATTTCCATCAGCCTTTGTGATGGAGGTAAATAATTGGCTTTCATTCACACAGTAAATGGCTGACCATTGTGAGGGGATACCTTGCCAGGTGCTAAAAATAGAGTTTGAGGACAGCAAGTTCTGGGTTGACAGACTCTTCAGGCATAAGGAGTCAAAAATGCTAAAATTTGAAAAATGGCAAGAGGTCACAGTCAAAAGGAACTCTGAACCAAGAACTTTTCTCTGTATCAAAGCAAAAATCTGAAGGAACAGGGCTTAGGATTCTCACCACCCTTTCTGGCCATTGCAGGAATGAAAATATCACAGAGACATGTTCCTGGCTCCACCAGGCATTATGCCCAGCGTTAGGCACCAGGGTCTAGCGTTAAGACAGGAGCTTTGGAGGTGGCCCCTCCAAACTGGCTGGACCAGTTTGAACTTAAGTTGACCAAACTCAGGATCGTGGGTACACTGGTCTCTAGTGCACACTTAGTAAGAGCAGAGCAACCAAGGAGCCTAGTGAGCAGACTGTGCCGGCTGCCTGGACCCCTCGAGCTATACTGTCAACATCGCCCATGTCTTAGCCTCTAACAGCTGTATGCCAGGGGAGTGGCAGCCCTGCTTCAGTGAGAGCTTAGTCTGCTTTCTGGGCCCTGGTTTCTTTCTTAAACTGAGAAGCCACTCTGTCCTGTAAAGTTAATTCCATTAATGGCTAATTTCATTTATTTGGTATACTAGTTTGGCTCTGCAGAGAGTCATACTATGTTTCCATTTACTGAGGGTATCATTATAATATGTGAAGGATGGATTCCACACCTGAGATTGGAACTTTGCAGGTGGAGGTCCGGGGTGGAGAAATGGGCCTTTCTGTGCAGGAAGTGGTCATTTCAAGCAGTGTCTCACCAAGCTGCCTGTCAGCTGAATTGCTGTGGGGACATGTCACACGTCTGATTTTGCTACCACATGCCCAGCTCAGCCTGTGCTCGGAGCCTCACCCTGTGCCATACTGTGAGGGATCCAGACAGGAGTCAGAGCTGGTGCTTCTCACCTGGGAGCACAGCCTAGTAGAAGGGACTGCAATGGAAGGCACAAATGCTGTTGCCAGGGCAGTGTGCTGGGAGGTCAGAGCGGGCAAGAGTGCACGGCAGCCCAGACGCTGGGAAAACCCTCAGGACCACCGTCCTGTTTAGGCTGGCCTTTAAGCTAGGCCCGCCTGGCCACATGTGTTGGTAAACAGAGGAAAGAGGGATGTCTGTGCAGAAGTGGGAAGGTGCTGAGAGTGTGTGGAACTTCAGGATCACCTCATGGGGTTGAGGGCAGAGGTGAAGATACCTAACAAGCCACCTTAAATTCGTGGCCCGCGGAAAATCCTCATGCTCTTACACAGTGACATTTATTCTTCCCTGTTGCCGCCATCATGTTGTCGCATGGTGCCACATGTTGCACCTGGCAGTGGACTTGGAGCCTTAGCACATTGGATTCTTACAGACAGGCAGACAGCTTAAGAAGAACTTGTCCAGCTTCAGGCAGCTGTCAGTGACGGGAGGCCCAGGGTTAATGCCGAAGCTAGTGTTCTCCCCACTGTGCCCCAACCCCTCCCACAAGTGCTTGGCACCACCTGCAGTCACATTGGTCACACATTTCACTCATAAGAATTACATATTTTCTTTTTTTCCCCAAAAAATCTTTATCTGAAAGCAGAGTTAAAGAGAGGAGAGACAGAGATCTTCTATCCTCTGACTCACTCCGCAAATGGCTGCAACAGCCAGGGCTGGGCTGGGCTAGGCCAAAACCAGGAGCCAGGAGCTTCCTCCAGGTCTCCCACATGGGTGCAGGGGCCCAAGGAATTGGGCCATGTCTACTGCCTTCCCAAGCCACTAGCAGGGAGCTGGATGGGAAGTGGAGCAGCTGGGACTTGAACTGGCGCCCATATGGGATGCCAGCGCTGAAGGCCATGACTTAACTTGCTGTGCCACAGCGCTGGCCCCTGTACATCTGCTTTTGAAAAGAGAAGCAATGTTTATTGTACTTTGTCTCATATATTAGACATTGGAATGCTTGGGCATGCCTACAAAATTATGTGTAGTGTATTTTGCATGCCGTGGAAGGGACTTTAAGAATAATCTTACTCATCCAAGGTTTTCATCTTGCATAATGACTTTAGAACCTAACATCCAAAAAAAAAAAGAAAATTCTATTTTCTTGTTTTTGTCTAAGGATATGATCATCGTTATAGGGAGAGGTGCTTGGACACAAGCCTTACCTCCTGTACTTGGAGTTACTATGAAACCTTGTACCTATGAAAGGTTCCTTGGGCCAGTTCTCAGAACAGCCTCTTCTGACTTAACTTACCCAAACAGTATCCTCTTCCATCAGCCTCCCACCCATTGCCGTCAGTTCCCATTGCAGCTCTCACAGAGCAACTGCCTGGCTCACCGAAGTGGGCCTTGGCAGGAACTATTTCAGCAGTGTCTGCTTTGATTTCCACGTAGAAAGTTTCTCTGGGACACTTCCCCAAGTTCCTTGTGCTTCCCCCAGTGTTTCATTAGGCTCCTGGTACTACCGTTTGGTGGACCAAAGGTCAAGGACTGAGGTCAGTCTAAGTGTAACATTACAGATAGGATGCTCTGATGGCACCTCATTGTGAGGTACTTTCATGCCAGAAGAAATGATAGCATTTGTTTTATTGCTAGAATGAAGATTATCCCCTTGTTGTTCCCTTAGGCCTGTGCAAATACATGTTATCTCATAGTGAGTAAATTTAGAAGGGTGTATCAGGGGCCAATTGTGTGATAAATCACCCCAGAACTCAGTGACTTAAAACAGCACCATTTACAGTTTCCCGTGAGGCCAAGGCCAAACCGGTGTTGCTGTTGATGCAGGAAGGTGTAGCCTCTTCTCAGCTGGGCTCTCACCTGTGTCTCTGCTCAGACTCAGTCTCCTCTCGCATCTCCCCAGCAGCCACCCTGCTCATGCTCTCATGTTAGGGCAGAGGGGCCAGAGTAAGCAAGCCAGCCACGCAAGAGAGCAAGCAGGGCACGCACACTCTTCCACTGCTGCTGGCAGTGAGTTTGCTAGCATCCTATTGGCCAAAGAATGTGACGTGGCCAAGCGCAGTGTGAGTGGGAGGGGGCTATAATGTAGCAGGGAATGGGAATAACTGGGGCCATTAAATACAGTCAGCCTCCTGGTCAGGAGCCCTCAGTGTGAAAGAACACCTGTACACTTGGACTTCTGGGTCAAGTCTCTCCTAAGAAGGGAAAAAAAAAAAGGTTACATAAGGCTGTGTGCTGGACCTGCGTATGGGCCTGCACAGCCTAGCACTGTGCCTGCTTGTGCAATGATCCTCACGACAACTCTGCAAGGTAGGTAGGAACTGGAGCTCACAGAAGTTAAATAACTTGCTCAAGGTCACCCCACTGACACGTGGTCAGGCAGGGATTAGCACTGCGTGTCTGTCTGACCCTAAAGCCCAGGTTCTTTGCACCATGCTCGCCGCCAGAGTCTGCCTTGCCTCAGCTCCCACACCATTCGTTTTCAATCGAGTGGATGCTGTTTGACTAGCTCTCCAACCCCTCCTTCAAAACATTGCCGCAGTCCTGAAGGAATGGTACAGCGCTAAGAAAACCCATAGGTTCTCCCAAGTTCTCCGTTGACTGGAAGCTTTCCGCCAGAGTGGGTTCATCTGTAGGCTGTACAGGCAGCTTGAGAATTGTCCTAGACATGCTGGGGGTAGGGGGTGGCTTCTCTTCTCACCTCTAAGAGCTGAACTCGGGGCCTTAGAACATTTGAGCACGAGCTTTGGAGTCAGACTCGCTGGGGTTCGGCCGTTCGCTAGCTCTGTAATCTTGGGCAACTCATTTAACTTCTTGAAATCTGTTTCTTCATCTAAAAAAAATGGGAATAAGAACACCTCATTTGCAGAGCTGTTACAAGGACTAAAATTAAATTATGTCTATAAAGTGCCTAACCCAGTGCCTGGCACGGAATAAGTGGCATCACTAACACTAATGGTAGCAGCATTTCGAAGGAGAGCCTTTCCCCCTCCTGGGAAACCCTGTTTCTGTCTGTTGGACAGGTCCCCCCCACCGCCAGCCAGTCTGTGCAGACTTGCTGCCTGCTCTGTCACCGGGAACGGAAAGGCTGGGAAGAAGGCCCTTCACAAAATGGACTGGTGTTGCAGGGTGAGAAGCTGCCCCCTGACTTCATGCCAAAGCTCGTCAAGAATCTGCTAGGCGAGATGCCTCTGTGGGTCTGCCAGAGTTGCCGAAAGAGCATGGAGGAAGATGAAAGACAGACAGGTCGAGAGCATGCAGTGGCGGTAGGTAACCGCTGACAGGGAGTCTCCACATACAGGAGGCCGCCTCCCCAGAGCAGGCAGGCTATCCTTCCCCGTCCTCTGTGGTGGCTTTCCTGGTGCACCCCACACCCGGGCGCCGAGAGGCCGCTGGGCTGCCCTGACGGCACTGGTGGCTCGGGTCCACGTTTAGGGGAAGAGGAAAGGCCCTCGGCAGAGTCTATGTGCAGGATGAGGGCTCACTCCTAGGTACTGGTGGAGTATAATCCCGTCTTCTCGTGGGACCCTGCTGCCTTCAGCTCTGTAGCAGCTCAAAAGCCATCTAGTGCTGCAGAGAGAACACTTTGAGGGCCTGAAATGGTCTCACTTGAGATAACCGGGGGCCATCTGAGTCTGCCATCCTGTGAGACACGGTGGCCAGAGTCTCCTCGTTCTCATTGCGCTGCAGACCTTCTCTTGACTCGGGACTGATGGCACTTTAGGACTCCTATCCTCCTGTAGGCAGCCTCACCACTCTCCGAGGACTCCTGTCCTCCTGTGGGCAGCCTCACCACTCTCCCAGGACTCCTGTCCTGTGGGCAGCCTCACCACTCTCCCAGGACTCCTCTCCTCCTGTGGGCCGCCCTCACCACTCTCCCAGGACTCCTGTCCTCCTGTGGGCCGCCCTCATCACTCTCCCAGGACTCCTGTCCTCCTGTGGGCAGCCTCACCACTCTCCCAGGACTCCTCTTCTCCTGTGGGCCGCCCTCACCACTCTCCCAGGACTCCTGTCCTCCTGTGGGCAGCCTCACCACTCTCCCAGGACTCCTGTCCTCCTGTGGGCCGCCCTCACCACTCTCCCAGGACTCCTGTCCTCCTGTGGGCCGCCCTCACCACTCTCCCAGGACTCCTGTCCTCCTGTGGGCAGCCTCACCACTCTCCCAGGACTCCTCTCCTCCTGTGGGCCGCCCTCACCACTCTCCCAGGACTCCTGTCCTCCTGTGGACAGCCTCACCACTCTCCCAGGACTCCTGTCCTCCTGTGGACAGCCTCACCACTCTCCCAGGACTCCTGTCCTCCTGTGGGCAGCCTCACCACTCTCCCAGGACTCCTGTCCTCCTGTGGGCCGCCCTCACCACTCTCCCAGGACTCCTGTCCTCCTGTGGACAGCCTCACCACTCTCCCAGGACTCCTGTCCTCCTGTGGGCAGCCTCACCACTCTCCCAGGACTCCTCTTCTCCTGTGGGCCGCCCTCACCACTCTCCCAGGACTCCTGTCCTCCTGTGGGCTGCCCTCACCACTCTCCCAGGACTCCTGTCCTCCTGTGGGCAGCCTCACCACTCTCCCAGGACTTCTGTCCTCCTGTGGGCAGCCTCACCACTCTCCCAGGACTCCTGTCCTCCTGTGGGACACCCTCACCACTCTCCCAGGACTCCTGTCCTCCTGTGGGATGCCCTCACCACTCTCCCAGGCCCTCGATCACAGGTCACCTCTGCACCTGCCACAATCTGTCCCCCAAATCCACCTCCTGCAACTGGGAGCACCACAGCCCCCTCCCAGCCAAAGCCTGGCCCTGACTTGTCCTTCCTTGTGCTTTGGCCATGGCGTAAGGGGCCTGGAGGAGGGGCCTCCTGTGGGGTAAGCTGAGGCAACAGAGGGTCACCCCCACTGTTGAGTGTCTGACCATGTGCCTTTTTCTTCCCCCTTCTCCAGATCTCCTTGTCACACACATCCTGCAAATCGCAGTCTTGTGGGGGTGACTCCCCTTCCTCTTCCTCGTCCTCTTCATCGTCCTCCTCCTCCTCCTCGTCCTCCTGCCATGGGAACTCAGGAGACTGGGATCCCAGCTCGTTCCTGTCGGCACACAAGCTCTCAGGCCTCTGGAACTCCCCGCACTCCAGTGGGGCTGTGCCAGGCAGCTCGCTTGGGAGTCCTGCCATCCCGGGTGAGTCTCCAAGCCTAGGAGAGCCCCAGGAACCATCCTTGTAGACAGCCACATTTCCATGCAGAGGAAGCCAGTGATGGAGTACTAAAATCACTTAAAAGTGGAGCTGCTGTGACAGAGGCGAGGGCAGCCCAGACTCTGACTATGGAAGTGAAGTTGACACGACTGCTGGTAGGGGAAAGTTCTCATTGGCTGTGACAGCTGTTCACATTGGATCTCAGAGGGCCTGGCAGGCACCTTCTGAGTAGAAGTGGAGCCTGGGAGGCCTTGAGGGAAATAGGACGTAGATCACGTAGCACCAGAGCCCTGCAGCGCCGTGGACAACCTGGGGACCCTGGTTCCCCAGGCCTCATTAAGGGGCAGGTGTAAAAACACTACGTTCTTCTACAAGAGGGTGGCAGCATGGGCTGCCCTGAGTATTAGCTAATTTAGTAGCTGTAGAAGCCACCTTTGCTCTGAGATAACTCTCAGAGACCCAGAGAAGAAACCCTTGGGTTACTGATTTTTTATGTAAATATGGTTTCTGGTCCTACTTCTGAGTGGAGCAATATTCAGATTAGGAGAATTTAGCAGCACATAATTCCAGTTACTTTGGTGCATGAGCCAGAAAGACTTATCAAAGCGTTGTCCTCCTTCTGGGGCCCCTGGGGAGTCGGGCATCCACTGGCTGCTTGGATCCACGTGGCCCAAGGGTACAGCCCAGCCTGCTGTTTCGCTGGCTTCTGCCCTGGACCCAAGGAAAACCTGTGCATAAGCAAGTCCTTGCGGGACCCTGAGTGAGAACACACACCTGCTGTTCACACCACAGCAGCAGCAGCATGGGGCCAGGACTCCCGCCGCTTTCTCCCTTGGTCCCGGGCTCCTCAAGCCCATCTAGCTATGCTGCTGCCTCTAGAGTCCTCCAGCCCCCGGGCTCCTATGTAAGAGGCGCTGCCCAGAGTAAGCAGGATGTGGCAGTGAAGCTGGGGTTTCCTTCCCTGCTCTGGACTCCCACTCTGACCCTTTTTTCCCCACTCCACCCACAGGTGAGGCTTTTCCCGTCTCGGAGCACCACCAGCACCCAGACCTCACTGCTCCCCCTAACAGCCCCACCGGCCACCATCCCCAGCCAGCATCTCTGATGCCGTCTCACCTCGGCTCCTTCGGCTCACCACCCCACTCACACCTGCTGCCCACCACCCTGGCAGCGCCCTTCCCCACCCAGGCTTCAGAGTGTCCTGTGGCTGCCGCTGCCGCCCCCCACCCCCCAGGGCCGTGTCAGAGCCCCCACCTGCCTTCCACCAGCATGCCGCTCCTGAAGATGCCACCGCCGTTCTCAGGGTGCAGCCACCCCTGCAGCGGGCACTGTGGCGGGCCCCTCCTCCCACCTCCGGGCTCTCAGCCACTCCCTAGCACTCCCAGGTAAGCCAGTGGCCTGAGGGACATACTCCCTGCTCGTTTCCAGTGTTGGAAAACTTTGCCAAGGGTGACCTAGAGTGGAAATTAAAGGATAAGGCTTCTCATTGTTTTTTCAATTATAAAAGAAATGTGCTTATTATTATTTTAAATTTTTATTTATTTGAGAGAGAGACACACATGGACACAGCTCCCATCTGCCCGTTCATTTCCCAAATATGCACAAGGGCCCCCAGCCAGGAACTGGCAGCCTAGTCCAAGTTGCCGTAGAGGGTGGCGGGAACCCAGGTACTGGAGCCATCTCTGCTGCCTCTGAGAGTCTGTATTAGCAGGAAGTTGGAGTCAGACAACTTCAGAGCCAGAAAAAAAGACAGAGCCAGGTACTGAGGCCAGGTGCTGTGGTGTGGGACCTGGGCCTCTTAATCCCTAGGCTGAGTGCCCACCCTTATCTTTGGATCAATTCAAAAATATATGAAGAAGGAAAAAGTGTTCTCACCACCTAAAAATAAACTTGTAACGTTAAGGTGTGTCTTCTTCAGGATGTTTCTATATACAAAGAATAATTAGGGGGCCGACGTAGAAGGTTCAGCCTCCGCCTGCAGTGCCAGCGTCCCGTATGGGTACCGGTTGGAGTCCCAACTGCTCCACTTCCAATCCAGCTTCCTGCTAATGTGCCTGGGAAAGCAGCAGAATATGGCCCAAGTGCTTGGGCCCCACATGGAAGACCTAGAAGAAGCCCCTGGCTTTGGCCTAGCCCAGCCCTGGCCGTTGCAGCTATGTGGGCCTGAACCAGCAGATGGAAGATCTCTCTCCTCTCTGTTCTCTGCCTTTCAAGTAAATAAATAAATCTTTCCAAAAAATAAAGAGGAATTAGGTGCATTTTGGCACAGCTGTTTGATGTGGCAGCTCTCCTTTAACATTGCACTGTGGTCACCTCCCCAGGGGCAGTTCTTCAGAGGACGTTCCAGTGACTGCACGGCAACCGGGACAGAATCCGGTGCCCCAGCCTGGACTAGAACCCGGTGTGCCAGCGCCAAAGGTGGAGGATTAGCCTATTGAGCCACGGCGCTGGCCCGTGAGCATAGCATCTTTGCACCTAAATCTGTCTGAATGAGAAGTTAGGTCCCTTGGGGCGATTGCTGAAAGTAGCTTAAACTGAGAAAGGTTATATTTTTAATAGAAGAGAAAGTTTCAAAAAGTTGATGGCAAATGGAATTAGAAGTTAGTTTTGGTGCAAAAAAAGTTTGAAATCCAGACATCGTTTTTTATTTTTAAAGATTTATTTATTTGGCCGGTGCTGCGGCTAATTAAGCTAATCCTCTGCCTGTTGCACTGGCACTCCAGGTTCTAGTCCCATTCAGGGCACCGGATTCTGTCCCGGTTGCCCCTCTTCCAGGCCAGCTCTCTGCTGTGGCCAGGGAGTGCAGTGGAGGATGGCCCGGGTGCTTGGGACCTGCACCCGCATGGGAGACCAGGAGAAGCACCTGGATCCTGGCTTTGGATCAGCGCGGTACACCGGCCACAGTGCACTGGCCGCGGCGGCCATTAGAGGGTGAACCAACAGTAAAGGAAGACCTTTCTCTCTGTCTCTCTCTCACACTGTCCACTCTGCCTGTCCAAAAAAAAGTTTTTATTTATTTATTTAAATGGCAGAGTTACAGAGCAAGAGCTCTTCCATCTGCTGGTTTACTCTCCAAGTGGTTGCAACAGCCAGGCCTGGGCCAGGTCAAAGCCAGGAGTTGGGAGCTTCCTCTAGGTCTCCCACATGGATGCAGAAGCCCAAGCACCCGGGCCATCTTCCACTTCTTTCTCAGGCATACCAGCAGGGAGCTGGATCAGAAGTGGAGCAGCTGGGACATGAACCGGCTCTCATGAGATGTTAATGTCACAGGCAGTGGCCCAGTTGGCTGTGCTATAATGCTGGCCCCGCATACTTTTTTATAATATGCCCTGAACTTTGAACTTCCCTGGTCTCCCCTGTGGGTTGCAGGGGACTCGAACCAGTGTTCTTACAGGATGCCAGCATCAAAGGCGGCAGCTTAACCCGCTCCATTGCAACACTGCCCCAAACTGGCCCCAGATAATTCCATTCCATGAACTTTTTGAAGTATTCTTGGATTTTTGAAAGTGAATTCTTTGGAGAAGATAGATGTGTATTTTTACATTATAGTTCAGCTGTGTGTCTGTTATGTATTTATATTTTCCCACTCTGAAATCCTGCCCTCCCTGACCTGGCCCCTCGTGATGGTTCTCTGCCACACACACGTCTTTAACACACAGCGTTGCTGGTGTCTGTGGCTTGGCATCCTCTGGTTTCCACCCCATGCCACTCCAGCAGCATGTGTGCTCCTGCGGGCTGTTGTTAGTGGTCAGCTTTAGAGGCTGGTGAGTGCTAACCATAGTTCACTCACTTCACTGTGCACCAGTTGCTGAGCCTGGCAGTCATCCCAACATTTTGGCATTGTAAATAATGTCTCTAAAGATGTCTTTGTCTTTAAAACGTGTTCCCTCTTCTGGATTCTTCCACTTGGAATGGATTTCTCAGGGTGAAAAAAGTTCTCATCAAAGCCGTTTAGGGTTTTATTTTTCTATATTCTCAGCAACACAGGAATTTTCATTTAAAAAAGAAAAAACAAATTTATTAATCTCATAGATGAAGAATGGGGACTTTAGAATACACCACAGGGCTGTGCTGTGGTGTAGCGGGTAAAGCTGCCACCTGCAATGCCGGCATCCCATATGGGCACTTGTTCAAGACCCAGCTGCTCCACTTCCAATCCAGCTCTCTGCTATGGCCTGGGGGAGCAGTAGAAGATGGCCCAAGTCCTTGGGCCCCTGCACCCATGTGGGAGACCTGGAAGAAGCTCCTGGCTCCTGGCTTTGGTCTGCCCTAGCCCTGTCCATTGGTGACCATTTGGAGAGTGAACCAGTACATGGAAGATTGTCTCTGTCTCTCTGTATTTCTGCCTTTCAAATGAATAATAAATCTTTAAAAACAAATACGGTGCAAGCACCCGTGGTAGTGGCTCCTGCCCGGCCTCCCTTTTTAGCCCTTTCCTCATACATAAAGTTCTTTCTAGGAGGGGGCTATGATGGCCTGCCCAGCTCCCTGCCACCTCAGCCTTGGCATGGGGACCGGCCCTGGTGGCACTTCAGCTGCTAATGGCCCAGTTCAGGGCTGTGTCTCATCCTTTCTTAGCCTATGAAAATATTGTTAGAAAACCACCCCCTCCCCCGCAGGGTTCCTGAAATCCAGAGACAGAACACTGTCAGGGGGAATGTGAGCTCTGCACAGACCAGGCCCACATTTGACCACTGGCCCGGCAAGGCAGTCGAGCCCTCTGAGCTTCGCCCTCCACCCCTGCAGACTGGGGAACCTGACACCTTTCACAGGACCTGGGTTGGTTAGAAATGGTGCAGGCAGCAACTCACAGGCCATGAGCCAGAAGACACATTAGCCTTTCCTCAACTCGGTGTCTCGTGGATATGGCAGCCTCACCCACTGGTGTGCAGCAGTGGACCCCGTCACAGGCACCTTGGGAAGTGGAAGGACAGGGGCCTCACTGACCACCCTGAGGAGCCATAAACCCACCTCCTGCTCAGGTGTCTGCTTACTGAGCACCTCTGTGCAAGGTGACTACGCTGCACACTGGGAACCAAAGATGGACATGGCACCTCCCTGCCCTTGGGGACTTCACAGTTGAGTTTAAGAGGCAGATAGACCATTGCCACAAAAGATTAGCAGGACAGAGGGGAGTGTGTCGTGCCCTGGAAGGGGTGTAGGCAGTGGGGGCCAGCAAGGGAGGCACCAGGGAAGCTTCCCGGGAGAGTAGTCTGGATGTGTATGATGGGGCCTGAGGGACAGCCAGGGTGCTCACCCCGCTGTTGTGAGAGGTGCTGACGTGGGCTGACGGTTGTGGGTCTGTGTACGGTGAGACAGGCGGAGGGCAGTGCAGTGGAGACACTGCAGCCTCCTGTGGCGTCCTCTCACCTTTGGCCCTGTCTTTCTCCCTGTCAGCAGGGACCCAGGGTGCAAGGGGCACAAGTTTGCACACAGTGGCCTGGCCTGCCAGCTGCCCCAGCCCTGTGAGGCGGACGAGGGGCTGGGCGAGGAAGAGGACAGCAGCTCCGAGCGAAGCTCCTGCACCTCGTCCTCCACCCACCAGCGAGATGGGAAGTTCTGTGACTGCTGCTACTGTGAGTTCTTCGGCCACAATGCGGTGAGTGAGTCTGCCCGGGCCAGAGAGGGCTGGGGGCCAGCCAAGGTGAGCAAAAGGAGCACCCTGCTCTCCCCAGAGAACCCCCTTGCTTGTGGTGGTCATCACCACACTGGGACCCCCACGGGTCCTCACACCTGCGTCCGCTTGCTTGTGCCCCACAGCACACTGGTGAGGTTGGGGGTTTAAACATTTCTGCTGCCTTTGTTCTCGTGGTTTCTCTTAAGATTGACTTTTTTTCCTTAGGCGAAAGGAAAGGAAGTGGCAGAAAGAAAGCTATGATTCTGATGAGTATGTATACGTGTATAATCCCAGAGAAGGGAACGCTTGTGCGTGATGAAGGCAGAGTGGAAGCAGAAAGTCTCTCAGTTCCCCGAGTGTGGCAGCCTGCCGAGGGCCAGCCCATGAACGCAGACAGCGCCAGGAGGGAAGCTCAGATCAGAGCACCTGCTGCCTCCGGACAGGGGGAGGAAGCAGTTCAGAAGTCTCATAAGGTGAAGAGGAAAGGGCTGCTGGCTAGGGCAGAGCAGTTGAGGCGAGGAGAAAGGAAGTAACCCAGTTGCTGGTCACCTTTGAGCGAGGGGTTATTCTTTACGCTCATTTTAGAGATGACAAAATTGAGGCTCCCAGAGACTCGGTGGCTCGCCCAAGGTCATACAGCTTCCAAGTGATCAAGCCCAGGCTCAAACCTGCTTCCCTGGCTCCCCAGTCCGGGTTCACCCAGCTCTGCCCTGTTCCCCTCCCACTCCCGGCACCTGTTGCCACCTAGGCTGGAGCCCGGCTGAGGATGGAGCCGTGTGGCATTGATGGCTGGTGGTAGACAGAACAGTTGTCTCGCTCCTCTGCGCATACTTGGTGCCAGCGGGTGGGAGTGCTATAGGCCGGAAGGCCTGGGGTGTAATGTCGGCACCTCCCCCTCCCCCAGCCACCCGCTGCCCCGACGAGTCGGAATTATACCGAGATCCGGGAGAAGCTCCGCTCGAGGCTGACCAGGCGGAAAGAGGAGCTGCCCATGAAGGGGGTTGCCCTGGGCGGGATCCCTGGGGAGCCCGCCGTGGACCACCGAGATGTGGATGAGCTGCTGGAATTCATCAACAGCACGGAGCCCAAAGTCCCCAACAGCGCCAGGGCCGCCAAGCGGGCCCGGCACAAGCTGAAAAAGAAGGTGGGTGTGGGGGGAGCTCAGCTCTGCCGCCTCTCCCCTCCGAGGAATCCCTCGCCCCAGCCCCCAAGACTTCTGGGGTACACATGGTGCTGGCCGCCGACGGCCTTGGCACAGCTCACTGCTCTGGGAATTTCTGGATGAGTTTGGGAGGCTTCAGGGTCAGGGAGCCTTGGGGGCAAGCAATTAGAAGGACAAACCACGCGCTGGTCTTCGAAACTGCTTACTGGATTCCTCTAAGCCGAGGAGGACTTGCTGCAGTCGGTCGGTCACTTCCTCATTCAGCAGACGGCTCTACTCTAGAGACGGGGAGCCACAGTGTGGCACAGTTGAGTTCTCACTTGGAAGTGGCTCAGTCCAGTGGGGAGACTGGCACAGAAGTGGACCAGCACATTTGTCTGTGCCAAGTGCCAGGGTGAGGGGAAGCCCCCTCCTGTCTGGGACACGGGGAGTGAGGGCTCTGCCAGCAGTGCGGGCAGTGTGTCCACAGTAGAAGATAAGGACAACACCCAGGCCAGCAGAGGGGCAGGGCTGGCCCTTCTGGGCCCTGCTGGAAAGCTTTGACTCCATCCTACAGGTGAGGGGAGGCCATGGATGGTTCTTGGCAGTGTCTGCCCTTGGTCAGATCTGGATTCTAAGATGAGGGAGTGGCCACATGCAAGGTAGATTGGAGGGGTGGTCCCCCAAGTGGGAAAACCTTTTTGATGCCTCAGGCAGGAAGTGCTGGGCCAGAGGAGAGAGAACTGAGGGTGGAGTCAGAGCAGAAGTTTTGTTTTGTTTTGTTTTGTTTTGTTTTTTCCCCCAGAGGAAGCAAAAATGACAGGCCTTTTGAGCTGATGGCAGGACAGGAGATGGAGTTGGGGATGTCTCCCCAGTGGTTCCTTGGGAGCAGTAAGATGATGGTGCCTTTCCCTGAGCCAGAGGGAGGCTTACAAAGACTCCGGAGTCAGCCAGCCCACATGGCTCGGAGGTGCCACGGGAGGAGTTGCAAGCAGAGATGTAATTGAAACTGTGGGGATGATCTCTTCTTGGCGCTGAGGGTAGAAGCTGCTGCCAGATGCGCCTCCGGGCTTGGTGGCCTGTCCCTTGCGGCTTCATGACCTCTCTGCCTGCCCACCGCCATCAGTAGTGCCACAGTCGTTGCCGCCTGTGGGGGCCTGGCGTCCAAACAAATCGGAGCTTGACAACCAGCTAGTTCCAGTTCCAGGGCAGTCAGAAGGCCCTAGTGCTCTGGAAGACAGAAGTGACTCTCCATCTTTTTCCAGCCCAAAGGACAACCAGGACCCTTCTGCAGCCTAAAGTAGTGGTCAGCATTTTCCTGCGCCCAGCCAGGGGCGTTGTAGGTGGGCTGCAGTGGTCTCTGTGGCCTTTTCTGGCATCTTCCCACAGCAGTTCCAAGTTACCGCTGGTGTCAGCTTCTCAGGAAGCTTTACTCCCTCCCCTGTACTGGAACCTTCTTCCCGTATTCCCACCACCTCTTGCGTATCTGTCTTGGCTGCCGTTTGTCTTGCTGTCCTCACTCATCCAAGGCTCCCTGCACCCATAACATCAGCTAAGACAGTGTAGGAGCAGGGGTGCGGAGAGACCATGCAGCCCTGCCTGTTCAGACTTGGTCGTCGTGGGGTCAGAGGCAGACACAGGCATATATGCAGGCAGTTACATGCTCAGGGGAGGGGTGATTGTGGTCACTGCCTGCTTGTACAGCAGTCTCCTCCCATAGGCCCTTGCACCTCCAGGACCTAGCCACTTCCGGGCTGTCCACCAAGAATGACTACCTTGTAGCTGGCCAGTGAAGGCCGCTCTTTCCTCCTGCCTTGGGAGATGGATGAAGCCAAGTGTCTTCCTGCTCCAGCATCCCAGTTCCAGTCCTGGTATCTCTCTCCTAGTGTACTAGTCCCTGGCCCTTTGAAACTGCACCCCTGGCTCTGTCATTTTTAACCTCCTGGTCAGTCTTCTTCGTTCACTGCAGACTGTGCCCTGCCCCATTGTCTTCTTCCCAGGCTAACCTAGCATGCACTCGTTCCAAATGAGTGAGTACTGGCAAGACTGCAAGCAAAGGAACCCATGGCTCACCGTCTTCCCATTGGCCCTTCTGCCACACCCACTCGGAAAACCTGCAGCCTGGGTCCCTTCTCCACCTTGAGGAAAGCGCATTCGGGAATCTGTGGTGCCAGCCATGTGGTCTCCCACTGGCCTGTGCCGGACACTGCCTGGCTGGCCTCATGTTGCTCCCAAGTCTCCTTGCTCTCCCATCCGTGTCTGTCAACACAGCCTCTCTCTCAAACCTCCAGGCCTTCCCTACCCCCCATCTTAGATTTTGGCAAATAGCCTCACTTCATATGTCAACAAAGAAAAAAAGCCATTGGGTAGACATTCTCTTAAGAGCTTCTTCTCCTGTCTGTAGACTTTGTTCTCTGTGGTGAGAGAAGTCATCCTTGGCACACCCAGCCCCCACTCCGCTTCCCGCCAGACCCACAGGCCTTTCCGCCTCCTCCGCTGTCTGCTCGGGGCTCCGGCCTCTCCTGGTGGTTCCTGCCTCCTTTTTTTTTTCTTTCTTTCTTTCTTTTTTTTTTTTTTTTTTTTTGACAGGCAGAGTTAGACAGTGAGTGGTGAGTGAGAGAGAGACAGAGAGAAAGGTCTTCCTTCCGTTGGTTTAGCCCCCAAATGGCCCCCCAATCCAAAGCCAGGAGCCAGGTGCTTCCTCCTGGTCTCCCGTATGGGTGCAGGGCCCAAGTACTTGGGCCATCCTCCACTGCACTCCCGGGCCACAGCAGAGAGCTGGACTGGAAGAGGAGCAACCAGGACAGAATCCGGCGCCCTAACCGGGACTAGAACCCAGGGTGCTGGCGCCGCAGGCGGAGGATTAGCCAAGTGAGCCGTGGCGCTAGCCATCCTGACTCCTTTTCTGAGTGCAAACTCCCTCAAGCTTCTAACTCTCCCAGCCCCATTCCCAGTCTCTTTTGTTCTCTCACAGCCACATTTTTTTTCTTTAAAAGATTTTTTTTTTAATTTATTGGAAAGGCAGAATTACAGAGAGAGGAGGAGAGGCAGGGAAAGAGATCTTCCATCTGCTGGTTCGCTCCCCAAATGGCCACAACCTCTGGGACTGAGCCAGGCCGAAGCCAGGAGCCAGGAGCTTCTTCCAGGTCTCCTGTGTGGGTGGCAGGTTGGGCCCTCCTCCTCTGCCTTCCCAGGCACCTTAGCAGGGAGCTGGATTGGAAGTGGAGCAGCCGGGTCTCAAAGCAGTGCCCGTATGGGATACCAGCCTTGCAGGTGGAAGCTTAACATGCTACGTCACAGCCACATTTCCTATAAAAACAACCTTTTAATTCACCTCTTTACCTCCCCTCTTGTCCTCTCACAGCAAAGTGCTCTGCACCTCCAGCCCTACACACAGCTGCCAAGTCCAAATGACACTCCATCTTGTTTGTCCCCTAAACCACCTTCAGCTTCTCACAGTTACCCTTTCCACCTCCATCCTCAGCCCTGCAGGGCCAGGGAAGTGGGCGTGCTGTCCTCTTCAGATTTCTCCCTTGCCTCTGGCTGCTGTTCAGCCTCCTCCTGGGGGGGGCTCTACCTCCCTCTGGAGGGTGTCTCCCTGGGGAAGAGAAATGCTCCAGTCTGTGGCTCACGTTGGCACAGTTTCCTGCTGTAACCGGGCACCTGCTCGCGGATGCCCCACAGGCACCTCAGACTCGCACATTCCACACTGACTTGTCGCCTGATAAGGAAGAGGCATGCTGTTCTTCCTCTGTTGTCTGTCCAGCTACCGGCACCACTGTGCTGGGCACCGGAAGCAGAGCCCCGGGTGCCGTGCTGGGGCATGCAGCGTAGGGCAGCGGGCCTTGGACTTGGACCTCAGTTTGAAGGCTAGCTCTGCCACACTTGCTGTATGACCTTGGGCAAATCCCTTCACCTCTAAGCCTTGGTTTCATCGTCCATGAAATGAGAATGGCAGTAGAACCCGAGTCATGGTGGTTGTGAGGATGAGAGGAGTGGTGTTGGGGCAGAGCACCTGACACACGAGAGTGCTCGGGTTAGTGGGAGCTACTAGAGCAGCCACAGGGGTTAGCGGTGCCGATTTCCTAATTCGTTCTCCCAACCCTGCTGCCTCCCCAAGGAGCTCACACCTATCCTTTCTCTCCCCTGCTGCCACTTCAAAGGCCTCAGTGGCCACACATTGCCCTGGGGTCACACCTCAGGCCTCCGTAACCTGTGGCCGCAGAGCTCTTCCTGGTCCTGCCCCTGCCTAGCTAGCCCAGCCTCTCCTTTCTGACCTTCTCTGCCCTACCCAGCTGCACGGGCTCCAGGAAGTGCTCACTGGCTGGAATAGGAGCACTTCCTCTAGGTTCCCAGCAGGTCCTGTGCCTTCTTCCCTGTAGCACTTGTCACCGTCATGAGTTTTGCTGCCTGTTGGCATGTCTGTCTCCCCCAGCAGACTAGTCCCGGGGGGCAGAGATGTGTATCCTGTGTGGCTGAGCCCCCAGAGCCAACCCTGTCTCTCAGAGGTGATGGTTCAGTAACTGGTGGTCACTCGGGACTGGAAGCCCTAGGAACTTCTGAAGGTCAGACCTAGGGGTCCTGTCATGACTCTGCCACTGCTGACCACGGAACCCTGAGCCAGTTCCTTCCTCTCTGCTGAGCCAGGGTTCATCATCTGTAAGTGGGGGAGCGTTATGTATCAGGACAGGTATAAGGACTGCGGGGCCCAGCATGTGGGAAGTGCCAGGCTCACAGCGGGCAGGAGATATGTGTTTCAGTGCTTTCTGTCTCTTGCCACCAAAGCATATGTGCCCTGCCCCCTGCCCGCCACTCCCTCCATCCCGGTTCTTTTCAGCAAGATTGCTTTCCTGAAATGAGCTTTTGTACAGAGCCCCAGCCTACAACTGTGCTGGTGCTGGGGAGGAGTGGAGCAGATGGCCCGGGTCCCTCGTCTGTGCCCATGGCTGAGCTGCTTCTGGCTGAGCCCCCTCTGCCGGGGCACAGCACTCATGTAGGGGAAAGGGCTTGCCCCATGCTCTCAGCCATCCTCAGAGCCCCCCGCAGGGAGAGCTGCTTCTCTCTGCTGAGTTACAAAGGGAGAAAGGTTCCCAGAGAACAAGTGATTTGTCCAAGGTCCCCCGGGGACAGCTAACCTTGGTTTGTTGTACAGCCAGTGTTCAGAAGAGATGAGAGACTGCTGGGGCATGGGCTCACTTGCTTGGCGCTGACTCTGAGGTGGAGGCAAGCCGCCTTTTCTGTCCCTCCGTTCCCAGACCATCTGGAACCTGTGGTGGGAGTCATCATCCACCACCTCCTTCCCGAGGGTGTGACACCTGTCCGTCTCCTGGAGTGCCCTGCACTTGGGCAGAAGGGTGGCGGTGGCTTGGAGCCCACAGACGAACTGTGATCCTGCCCCTCCAAGCCTCCTGGTCTTTACTCGAGTGGAGGGGCCGCTTCTTCACATCTAGCTGTGAGGGCTCCATGTGGCCTCTGTGCTACGCCATTGGACACACCGTAGGCGTGGCCTTGGTCACCTGAGGCCAACCAAGGGGAGTGACCTTTGTACAGGCTAGGTGCCCTCTTGGCCAACACCCAGACCCAGCTTTGGGCCACCTGCATTTGCAGCCGCCAGAGCAGTCTCATCTGCGGTGACAGCCTCACTGCCCCCATCCTCCTTCTGAGACCCTCAGGATGCCCTGGCTTCGATCCCTGACCCCCTGCACAATTGGAGGGAATGCCCCGGTAGACGTGTTCCTACTTTAGGCTTCCCTCCTGGATGGTTGAGAGATCTCTGAGGCCCAACAAGGGAGCAAGGGCACTGTCGAAGTTCACCCAGGCTCAGGCCCGGCAGGAAGTACCCCTTGCATCCTCACCCACTCGGGCTGGGCCTGACCCGGGGTCCTGGTGAACAAGCTGTGACAATCCTGGCCTCTGTGGGTGTGCCCATGCCTCCACCCAGCATGTGGAGCTGCCCTTCATCCTCACTCCTACAGGGTGGCACACAAACCAGGATCAGGACGTCTTGTCTCCAGCAAGTTGGCAGCAGAGCCGGCTCCAGGCTGCTGTGGCAGGTGTCACAGGCACCTGCTGAGACTGCCTCTTGTGTTGGCAGGAAAAGGAGAAGGCCCAGTTGGCAGCAGAAGCTCTGAAGCAGGCGAGTCGTGTTTCTGGAAGCCGGGAACCGAAGCCTGCCAGGGAGAGGCTATTGGAGTGGCCCGAGCAGGACCTGGATCAGGTCAACAGCTTCCTGAGCAGCCGGCTGCAGGATATCAAGAACACTGTCAAGGACTCCATCCGTGCCAGCCTCAGTGCGTGTGAGCTCGGCAAGGACAACAACGGTTTCCCTAACGAGGGGGCTGTTGAGCCTGAGCCCCAGAGTCTAACCCCCTTGAACCTCAGTGGCTCCTCGGAGCAACGGCCTGACATCAACCTTGACCTATCCCCCTTGACTTTGGGCTCCCCCCAGAACCACACGTTACAAGCTCCAGGCGAGCCAGCCCCACCATGGGCAGAAATGAGAGGCCCACACCCACCCTGGACAGAGGTGAGGGGCCCTCCTCCTGGTATCAGCCCCGAGAACGGGCTGGTAAGGAGACTCAGCACCGTGCCCAACCTGTCCCGGGTCATCTGGGTCAAGACGCCCAAGCCAGGCAACCCCGAGGAGCTGAGCCCAAAGGAGCTCCCCACCTGCAAGCAGGAGCTGCCTGAGCCTGTGGTCACAGGTGGGAAGCCGCGGAAGGGCAAGAGACAGGGCAGTCAGGCCAAGAAGTGTGAGGTGAGCATAGCCCCCCGAGCCCCAGCCAACCTAGAGGCCCCCAGTGCCAAGGGCCAGGCCCCTGGCCCCAGGCAGCCAAGCAAGGGCCCAGAACCTCCCAAGGTGGGCGGCTGTGCTGAGGCTGGAGAGGGGAGCCGGGGGAGCAGGCCAGGACCAGGCTGGGCCAGCAGCCCCAAAACTGAGAAGGAGAAGGGCAGCTCCTGGCGGAACTGGCCCGGTGAGGCCAAGGCACGGCCTCCAGAGCAGGAGTCTGTGCAGCCCCCAGGCCCAGCAAGGCCGCAGAGCTTGCCCCAGGGCAAGGGCCGCAGCCGCCGGAGCCGCCACAAGCAGGAGAAGTCGGCCTCCTCCTTGGGTGAGTGCAGCAGGAACCGAGTGGCTGACCCCCCCACCCCAGCCAGGCCGTGGGGTGGAGGGTAGTCCTGGTGTGTGGGCAGCGCTGCCCCCAGAGCATGACCCCAGAGGCCCGGCCATGGGCACTGAGCCCCCCTGGCTGTGTCTTCCTAGACGACGTGTTCCTGCCCAAGGACACAGATGGGGTGGAGATGGACGAGACGGACCGCGAGGTGGAGTACTTCAAGAGGTACATGTGCCCCCCACCTGCTCCTGCTCCCCACCCCCGCCCTAGGTCCCGCCCACCCTGGAGCTTGGTGCTGGGCCACTGAGCTCAGGAAGGCCTGCTTCCTCAGCGCTGGCCCTGCCGCTCCTCCAGTCCCTCCTCCAGCTGGCCTGTCGCTGGGGTCCTGGGGGGCCACTTGGCAGGGTGGGCATGTGGGAGGATGCCAGGGATAGGCAGGAGATGTGGCAGGCCCCCAAACCAGGGCTTTCTCCAGCTTGATTCATTTTTACTTACCGCGCTGTGCCTGTGCTAAACTCAGGACAGTCTACATGGGGCGAGAGATCCAGACTGACAGCCCAGAGACGGAAGCTCTTAGGAGCTGTGGGGTGGGGGGTTGGAAGGAGGACTCTTAAACCACGCTGAAGGTAGGGTAGGCCAGGAGGCCGGCCTAGGAGGGCGATGACCAAGCTGGAACCTAAAAAGTAGGAACTGAGCAGGTAAAATGGAAAGGTGTTTGTGACAGCAGGACCAGTGTGTCTGAAGTTTTGAGGGTCAGGAAGGCACAGCCTGCTTCCAATACAGCTAGAGTAAACCCTGAGTGGAGGAGGGGACTTGCATCCCACGGCAGTTATCCGTTCCCCATGGTTTGTGGACAGTGGTTGCTAGGGCATGGCCGGAGAGCGCCCAGGCCCACCTGCCCTGCAAGCCAGAGGGAGTGTGGAGCTGGCCTGGTGGCTTAGTGAGGACACATATGGGGTCTAGCAGAGGGTTCTGGTGAGGAAGGGAGGGCCCCTCTGAATGGTATCTTCCAAACCCAACAGGTTCTGTTTGGATTCTGCAAAGCAAACGCGTCAAAAAGTTGCTGTGAACTGGACCAACTTTAGCCTCAAGAAACCCACTCCGAGCACAGCACAGTGAGGTAGAGCCTGTACACCTCTCCTTGCGGGCCACTGCCTCTGTGGCCCCACCTGCTGTACTCTGATCTCCCGTGGGGCACGGGAAGTGGGCTTTGGGCTTAGCAGCCCTGGCCCCATGCACCACAGCGACTGCACTCTGGCTACGGCCTGCTGGCCGTCCTGTGGCCGTCCTGTGGCCTCTCACTGAAGGCCCTGTCCTCCATCACGCTCCCTGGCCAGGCCCTCCCTGAGCTTTCTTGCGCATGCTCTGAAGGGCCCCTTCCCGCACAGCTGCTCCTGGAGCATCAGCACTGGGGCTCAGCCTCTCTCACCTGCTGCTGCCCAAAGTTCCCAGACCGCGGTAGGCCCCCTGGGGCCACACCGCCCCTGCGCCATCGGGCTCAGGGCTGAGTGCTGCTCACATGGCCTGGCTCTGCTGCAGGCTACCAATTTGCTTAGCTGAAGCAGTGTGAGAGGCGGTCAGCAGGGCCGACAAGCAAGCGAGGTCCTGTAGGCCACTAAAGCGTGGAGGGCCCAGTCGGAGCTTCACAACAGGACCCGTTCAAGAGGAAAGCAGTAGCTGAGCCGCTTTCGTGAAGAAGAGACCCAGCCCCCAGGTGGCCCTGACCTCCCAGCCACCCGTGTGGGTCCTTTTGTCTGCGGTATGCAGAGTCAGATGACATTCTGGAAACGGAAGACTGGAGAGGGCACCGTACATTAGGCAAGGGCACCTGGCCAGCAGGCCTTGGTGCAGGGCCCGGGGCTGGCTGGCAACTGCACGGCTGCCCTCAAGGCAGTGGGAGGCTGGGGCAGGTGGACTGAGTTCAGGGACAGCACTCACAACGACCTCAAGGATGTCCCTACCCCTTCTCCACTAGGGCCAGCTCAGCCTTAGCTCCTGCAGCACGCTGTGCTGCCCGGAAGTCAGGACCATCTCCCGCAGACTCCCCTCGGCCCTCTGTTCCGAGCGGGCTGGGCTCCCTGATTTTTTGCCAACCCAACATCCACACCCCAAGGCACATCTTCTGGTGCCAAGATGCACCCCCACCTCACGTGCACACTAGGCAGGAGTAGATCCTGCGCACTTCACCTGTTGTCCTTGTGAGAGAGAGAGAGTCGCACCTCCTGCAGCCTAATTCCACTGTCCTCTGGGAAGTCACGGGCAGCCGTCTTCTCCCACTCGGTCCTCTTGGCCTTTCCCTCCTGTCCTCCGTTCCAAGACTAAAGAAGTCCCCCCTCCCCTCCAGGAAACACTGTCCTTTCACCCCCCCTCCAGGCGAGACACGGAGCCCTGCCGTGTGCCCACAGGGCTGCCGGACCCGACGCTGGCCAGCCAGCCCAGCTATGCCCGCGGGAGGACAGGTGCTGGAGGCTGTGCCGTCACGCAGTCCTGGCTGGGACTCCCCAGGGACTGCCCCACACGTGACCAGAACCCCGGGCCAGGGGCTCTGTTCACTCACAGGGTCTTAAGCTACATCCTCTGCTGGGGTGGTCCCATGAATCAGCCTTTGCAGCCAGCTGTTCGTGGGAGGCTGGGACCACCCTGTGATCCTACTCGTTTGTTCCTTCCCAGGCGCTCGGGGCTGAGCTGCTGCAGGGTGTCCCAAGACCCCGACTGCCAGCTGAGGTCTGGGGTTTCTCCCTCCACATCCCCCACCCACCTGCCGAAGACCCTTCCTGCTGCCGCCGTCCTGGACCAACCAAAAGCTGAACGGATGCTGTGCTGTGCTGGGGGCCCTCAGGACCTCGGCGGAGCCACTTCCTGGTGCTACGCAGCCTCCACACTCAGAGCCCAGGGACTGGGCTGGCCTGGGGCGGGGGCTGATGGTACTGCTGGCCCGACACTGCTTTCTGTTTCCATTTTGTTTTTGTTTTTGTTTGTTTTTATCTTTTTTTTTTAATTCTTTACTTTTGATACTGTGAAGATCTTTCATGCTGAAAGATAAAGCAACATTTGGACACGGAGTTGGTGTGTTAGTGATTCGCTGGGCTGGGTAGGGAGTGGGGTGAGGAGGGCGGTCATCTGCAGCCCTGGCCTCTCCCAGTCCTCACTCCATCCTCTTACCCATTTTATGCTAAGATGGGAACGTGAACTCGGGCTGGCCGCCGAGGGCTGAGCATGGGTGTCAGTGCCTTTGCCTTGGGTTGGGAGGGCTGCGGTGGGGCCGCCCCTTCCCTGCCGTCTCAGCCCCCTCTCTGCAAGCTTGGTGAGTCGGAGGCTTTGGACTCGCCTCTGTGCAGCTGGAAGCCGGAGAGGCCTTTGTGGACCGTGTGGCTGTGCCTGGGTGATTGGGGGAGACGAAGCTTGATTTCCCCATCGGAATAGGAATGCAGCCTAGGGATCTGACAGCTAAGGCGGTAACGAGCCCTCTGTCGTTGAGGCGAACTAGCTCATCCTCTCCAAGGATGCCTCACACACTTGTTTCCTACTCCTTGCCACCAGGGTGGTTTTCTCTGAGGCCAGCTCAGCTCGGGCTTCTGTGGGGACCATGTTGCCTGGAGCCCGTGCCCACAGTCTAAGGGCCCTGGGAGGGCCTCCTCTAGGACAGGGACACAGCGCCGACCCTGCGGCCACTTTCCTGTGAAACCTCCGTGTTCCTGAGCCGTGTTCCTCGCCTTTGCGCTTGCGCCAGGCTCCTGCCCTACGTGGAATCGGCACCACTCCGATTCAGAAGGTGCAGGTTTGAGGGAGCAGCCCGCAGCAGCACAGAGGCAGACTGCCGGGCCCCGGCATCGGGACAAGCGGAGTCCAGGGCTCCAGACCCTGGCGACCCCTCCCATCCCACCGGAGAGGCCCTCGTACTGTGAGAGCTCCGGGAATCCGCTTTCCCTGCCTTCGTGGGCCTCGTCTTCCCTACAGTATTGCGTCTCGGCCTCGAGACCGCACTGCCGGGCGCTCACCACACAGGCGCCCAGGTCGGCGCGGAGCGGCCCACTCGTTCCTCAGAGGCCCGAGGCTCTGGCCTTCGCGCGTGCCCAGCCCACGGCCTCCTGGTCCCCGAGCTCCGCGGCAGCGCGGGCAGTAGTCGTTCTCTCGCGTACACAGCTTCGCCAGTACCGGGGGTGAACCGGTGGGGTCGCCCGGGAAGCCCCGCCCGCCCCGCCGGGATCCCACTGGGATCCCGACGCTCGCCTCGTCCTCCAGCGCCCGGCCGCTAGGCGGCCTCACGTCGGCAGGGACTGCCGATGACGTCGGGCGCCGGGCGCGGCCGGACGCCGAGCTGCGGAGCCGCGGTCTGCACTTCCACCCGCGCAGGCTTCCAAGCTGCCAGTGTCCCACAATGCCTTGCATGGCACTTTCGCCCTTAGCCCCACCCCCCGCGACAGCCGCTCAGTCTGCCACAGGAGTCAACGCCGTGCCTCACAGCAGCCTCAGTAGAGGAAATTTGTCCCTCGGCGAGACCCGTCACGCCGAAGTCGTTGCTAGGCGCCGACTCCGCTTCTTCACATCTGATTGGATCTCACTCGAGGCAGAGGCGTGGTCCGGCTGTGGCGCGCATGCGGGCAGCAAAGGATGGAGGAGTCGGAACCAGAGCGGAAGGTGGGACTGGGGCTGCGGAGCGCGCGGGCGGGGCGCGGGAGTGGAGGTCGGGGTGGGGTTGGCGACGGCCCGGGGCCTGACTAGTGCGTGTGTGCAGCGGGCTCGCGCCGACGAGGCGAATGCTGGAGGCAGCCATTCCGAGGTGGAGGATGACGGCGACGAGGACTACGTACCCTATGTGCCGCTGCGACAGCGCCGGCAGCTACTGGTGAGGGGGCGTGAGCACCCGGTCTTGGTGGGTGGGGGTGGCCCCTGCCTGCGGGTGTAGGGGGAGTGAGCGTCAGTACACGGGAGCATGGCTCTCGGGCGAACAGGGACCTGATATGGGGCAGGCCAGCTCTGTGCCTGGGGCCGTGGGACCCTGGGCCCGACACCCCACTCCGCCGTGGGCTCGACTCTCATGGGTCTTGGTGGACTCAGCTCCAGAAGCTGCTGCAACGAAGGCGCAAGGGAGCCGCGGAGGAGGAGCAGCAGGACAGCGGCAGCGAGCCCCGGGGAGATGAGGACGACATCCCACTGGGCCCACAGTCCAACGTCAGCCTCCTGGATCAGCACCAGCACCTCAAGGAGAAGGCTGAAGGTGGGCCAGGGGGAGGCGGGAAGCCGAGCCCGAGCCCCTGGGTTGGCGTCTGGCCAACATCCTTTGTTCCTTTCCTTAGCTCGCAAGGAATCCGCCAAGGAGAAGCAGCTGAAGGAAGAAGAGAAAATTCTAGAGAGCGTGGCTGAGGGCCGAGGTATGGCGGCAGGCAGGGCAGCGAAGAGGTGGGTGGGATCCCGGGAGCTGGCCCTGAGCCTCGTGTGTTCCCTCAGCACTGATGTCAGTGAAGGAGATGGCCAAAGGTATCACGTACGACGACCCAATCAAGACCAGGTGTGTCTGTGTGCCAGCCCCGATGTAGCATGGGTGCGGCGAGAGGTGCGGGACCGCCCACCTGAGGCCCACTGCGCCTGAGCCCTGCCTCTCACCCTCAGCTGGACGCCACCCCGTTACGTGCTGAACATGTCTGAAGAGCGCCATGACCGTGTGCGGAGGAAGTACCACATCCTGGTGGAGGGGGACGGGATCCCGCCGCCCATCAAGAGCTTCAAGGAGATGAAGTTTCCCGCAGGTGCTTGGTGGCGGGGAAGATCCCCCATCTGATGGGCAGCCTGGGAGTCCGCTGTCTCGGCACAGGATGCTGCCTTCCGGTGGGGGTGGAGGGATTTGGGATACGGGTCTCTTGAGGCCCCTCCTGTGCAAGTTTATCGCCCTGTGCCCTCGCTGCACTGCAGTGGGGGAGTAACTTTGGGTGTGGACCTAGGAGGGAATCCCAGCTCCACCTAGCTAACAGGCCTTGGACCAGGGGTGGGGACTCGGATGAAGACTTGTGCCACAGGAACGAAGCCTGGGTTGTCTTCCACAGCCATCCTGAGGGGCCTGAAGAAGAAGGGCATCCATCACCCCACGCCTATCCAGATCCAGGGCATCCCCACCATGTGAGTGCGCGCCGTGGCCCTGAGGCCTGCCAAGGCGGCGGGGAGGAGCTGGATGTCTGCGCCACCTGCTGACCCTTACCCAGGCACTGTCCTCTCCCACAGCCTCTCCGGCCGTGACATGATAGGCATCGCCTTCACGGGTTCAGGCAAGACGCTGGTCTTCACCTTGCCCGTCATCATGTTCTGCCTGGAGCAAGAGAAGAGGTTACCCTTCTCCAAGCGCGAGGGGCCCTATGGACTCATCATCTGCCCCTCTGTGAGCTAGGCGGGGCTGGGGGGCGGGGCCGAGACCAGAGCCACCTCCCGGCGCCAACCTTTGCCGTCATGCCCACAGCGGGAGCTGGCCCGGCAGACCCACGGCATTCTGGAGTATTACTGCCGCCTGCTGCAAGAGGACAGCTCGCCTCTGCTACGCTGTGCCCTCTGCATCGGGGGCATGTCCGTCAAGGAGCAGATGGAGACCATCCGGCAGTGAGGACCCAGGCCCTGAGGACACCCAGTCTCATGGGGTGGTTGGTTGGGACAGAGCGATGTAGCCATCACTGTGGGAGTGCAGTGGATGGAGGGGCCCATCCTGCCACGTGAGAGCAGGAAACCAGTGAAGACCCTGCAGGAAAAGTCATCTTTGAATTTTGAAGGGGGCAGCGCATCCAGAGAAGTCGGGGTCATTCCGTGGGGCCAGTCAGGGGAGCCGAGGCACTGCTAGCAGGGCTGGATCCCTTCCCACACAAATGAGACGTCGCCACCTGCTCCGGACCAGGCGCGGAGGCCACAGGCAGGCCGGACGTGCCCAAGGAAGACGCAGGCACAGATGGAAGGAAGTGTGACCTGGAACGTGAGCCCCTTGAGGGCGGCCAGAGAGGGATTCGGGACAGCCTGCAGGGCAGAGGGGTTTCCAGGAGAGGGGAGGAGGAGGTATTTGCCAGGCGGTAGCTAGAGGCTGCAGCCCTTTCTTCACCAGACGTGTGTCCATAGGGCAGCACGGCAGCTCGACAAGGGATAGGCCAGGAGATGCGGGAAGGGGGCGTAGGACAGGCCAGAGGCGAATGTGGCCTCTTGGTGGGTGACGGACACCTGCACTCGGTTCTCTCCCTGGTCCCCAGTGGCGTGCACATGATGGTGGCCACACCCGGGCGCCTCATGGATCTACTGCAGAAAAAGATGGTGAGCCTGGACATCTGCCGCTACCTGGCCCTAGACGAAGCCGACCGCATGATTGACATGGGCTTTGAGGGGGACATCCGCACCATCTTCTCCTACTTCAAGGTGCCTGTCCCTGCTGGGCAAGGGCGCCCCTGTCCCCTGCTGTCCGCACACACGCTGAGCCCTGCCCCGCCCCCACTCCGCCTCTGCTTCCCCAGAGCCCACACCCCCCCCACCCCCTCCTCAGGGCCAGCGACAGACGCTGCTCTTCAGTGCCACCATGCCCAAGAAGATCCAGAACTTTGCCAAAAGCGCACTGGTGAAGCCAGTCACCATCAACGTGGGCCGTGCAGGGGCCGCCAGCCTGGACGTCATCCAGGTGGGTAGGGCCCCCACCCCCACCCGCAGCCCCAGCTGGGAGTATGCCTGGTGGCACTGAGGGTTTCCACTGGGAGCTCCTGGCCTTTGGGGGCCAGGGTGTGGCAGGGCCACGGTCAAGAGCCCAGCCCAGGATCAGCTGACCCTGTGGTGGCAGGAGGTGGAATACGTGAAGGAAGAGGCCAAGATGGTGTACCTGCTCGAGTGCCTGCAGAAGACGCCCCCGCCTGTGAGTGCCCAGGGCAGGCTGGGGCCCGCCCCAGGACGCGGGAGCAAGGGCAGTAGGGACAGCAACTGGGCAGGGTCAGCCCTTGACGGGAGTGGCCTTCCTGGACAGGTGCTCATCTTCGCAGAGAAGAAGGCCGACGTGGACGCCATCCACGAGTACCTGCTGCTCAAAGGGGTCGAGGCTGTGGCCATCCACGGGGGCAAAGGTCAGGGTGGCACATGCATGGGCACAGACCCTCACCTAATCCCCTGCCCTGCCTGGCCAGCCAACTCGCTGCTATGCCCCAGATTCCTCCCGTGGCTCTGACAGCTCCAACCCACCCCCCAGACCAGGAGGAGCGCACCAAGGCCATTGAGGCCTTCCGGGAGGGCAAGAAGGACGTCCTCGTGGCCACAGATGTGGCCTCCAAGGGCTTGGACTTCCCCGCCATCCAGCACGTCATCAATTACGACATGCCTGAGGAGATTGAAAACTACGGTGGGGACCGGGGGCTGGGGGCAGCCCTGGCAGGGGAGAGGCCAGGCCCTGGGCTCAGGGCAGTGGGCCAGAGACGCCATTTCTCTCCACAGTGCACCGGATTGGCCGCACTGGGCGTTCAGGAAACACAGGTATCGCCACCACCTTCATCAACAAGGCCTGTGGTGAGTCTGTCTCCAGAGCCGCCTCAGCCCTGCCCCGGGCCCTCTCCCTGTGGCCACTCAGGTTCTGGCCGCGGGGCCCAGAGTGGGGCCTGAGGATTTCCCCTCGCGCCCGCAGATGAGTCAGTGCTGATGGACCTCAAAGCCCTGCTGCTGGAGGCCAAGCAGAAGGTGCCGCCCGTCCTGCAGGTGCTGCACTGCGGAGACGAGTCCATGCTGGACATCGGAGGTGACTGGCAGGGAACCCAGAAACAGCCGGCAGGGGGCCCCGAGGGCCGGGACCCCACTGACCTTCCCCTGCACCCTCAGGGGAGCGCGGCTGTGCCTTCTGCGGGGGCCTCGGCCATCGGATCACCGACTGCCCCAAGCTCGAGGCCATGCAGACCAAGCAGGTCAGCAACATCGGCCGCAAGGACTACCTGGCCCACAGCTCCATGGACTTCTGAGCCGACTGCGTGCCCACCTTCTCTGCGAGAGGCCTCGGGGCCCCGGGCTCCAGCCCCCAAACAAGAAGCCAGCATCAGCCCGGCGGGCCTGGGCCGCTCCCTGTGCCCCCAGAGTTACTATTTTTGTTCCTCTTCACCCCAGCCGCCATTAAAGCGCAAGTTGTCATTTCTTCCCCAGCCTGTTTCTGTGTTTCACCTGGTGTAGGACCTTGGGCCTTGCGCAGGTCTCATCCTCCGACTCCCAGAAGCCCTCAGGCGAGGTGTGAGCCCCTTGAAAGGCCTCAGGCAGACTCCCCGCTGGGGGCTCAGGGTGTCTCAGGGCCAGGCCACATTGGTAGGCCGCAGGGCAATGGCTGGGTTCCGTGGTCTCCCTGGCAGTTTGTCAATCACCCCCGACCCCCATCAGCCTCACTCTTCCTGTAAGTTGCTCCCAGGGCTTCACCCCCCCCCCCCCCCCCCCCGGGAAGCTACCCATTTGGAAACCCTCAGCTCCATTTGCCAAGGAGGCATCTGATGGCCCAGGAATGCTTTCAGACCAAAAAAGTGCCCCGGCGCTGCCCCGTGCCCAGTGCTCTGTTGGCCTCGGCACCCAGGCGAGCCAGGCAGAGGACTGCTTGGGCTGCGCTCAGCTGAGCGGGGGAGACTCACAGAAGCGTGAGCATCGCAAGGCCGCTGGCCGGAGAGCCAGGACTTTGGCGAGAGGAGAGCAGACAAGCGGCGCCAGCCGGGCTGGGTTTCACCCGGTTCCCTAGTGCCAGGTTTTCTGTTCGCAAGGCCGCATGCTGATCCCAGCAGGACAGCTGTTGCTCAAGCCCTGTTTGTCACTTGGTGTGTGGCCTCGGGCAAGTTACTTAATTTCCCCGAGCCTTGGCTTCCTCATGGCTGAAACGGCCACGAGGGTGTGAAGGGCCTGGAGTCGGGCTGGCGGAGCTCAGTACTGCCCGGGCTCCTGTGGGCACACAGCCAGGTGGCCAGGACCTTCGAAACTGTGTCCTGGCTGAGTACACGACCCCAGGATGGCGTTCCTCAGCCTGGTTACAACATTCTTTCCCCTTGGTGACAGCCACACAGACCCAATATTGGCCACCAAGAAAGCAAGATGGAAAAAAAAAAAAAGGCACCCTGGGCAGGAAGCCACACTTAAAAAGTTCACGTGACCGCTTCTGGGGGCCACTGGGGACTACCACGCACGCCCATGTGGCTGGAGCCGCTCAGGTCTGGGTGCCTGAAGTGCCGGGTGGATACTATGACATCCTTTGTGTGCTGTCAAGACAGCAGGGAGTGATCAGGGAAGGCCTCCAGGAAGAAGCGGCAGGGTGAGCGATGATGCCCTGGGGGAGCTGGCTGGTGGGGGGGTGCAGCTGAGGGAGGTGGAGGTGGGACACTTGGCTGGCCAAGAGCTAGGCCGAAGGAGGGAGGTCAGGGTGAGTTGGGGCTGCTGGAGGCAGGCAGGCCCAGGTCACAGAGCAGAGCCATGGGGAGCTGCCGGGGCTGGCTGTGGGCAGGGCTGTGAGGAGCCAGGGGCTAGGCTGCACTGTGTACTTCAGAGAAGCAGAGCAGGACCCAGTATTTGTAGCAAGAGCCTTGGGGTGAGGGTAGGGCTGTGCCCTAGCTGGGGGAGGGTCAGAGCTGATGACTCAGGGGCACCAGCACCAGCACCAGCCTGTGGTCAGACGCTCACATGGAGCTGACCCAGGTGCGGCACAGGGGTCACTGCCTGAAGGTGATCTGAGGCTCCTTTGCCAGGCAGATGGAGGCACCTTGGGTCAGCCAGGACGCCCAGGGAGAAACGCGTGCGGCCCCTCAGCCCTTAACCGAAGGCTGGACTCCCCTCCCCCCCGGTCTGCAGCTGCTTCTCTGGACAGAGGGAGGGGAAGTGGCCAGAAGGGGAAGTGTGAAGAGTTCCTGTCCAGCCTGTCGCCTGTCACCAGTCTCCTCGGGTCTTGGGAGCAGCCCGTGGTCCGGCTGTGGCCATGGAGTCGCCAGAGACCCCGGTGAAAGACGGCCTCCTGTACCTGCAGCACGTCAAGTTTGGCAAGGTGCGACCCTGGCCGCCAGGCGGCCGCCCGGGACCAGTGGAGCCGGAGACCTCAGCCTGTGCCCCAGCCCCGCACCAGAGCTCTGGGAGGGAGGCCGGGTGGGGGAGTGGATGGAACCGGGGTCTTGGCCTGAGAGTGCTGCCTCTCTTAGGGATGGGGGAGCCATGCGTGGGGAAGGGTCTAGAACCAAACTCCTGCACAGAGGCAAAGCCTCGTGGCCACCTGAGCCACCTGGTAGGGGCCCTAGGGTCCCTGGAGGGCCGGGGGCTGAGCTGGGGGAGACCCTCGAGGTGGAGTCCCACCTGCAGAAGGGGCCCCCCTCCTTACAGCAGGCCCTGCACCCGGGCTGCTGCCCAAGCAGATAAACGGTTGCTTCCTTTGCTCGAGGCTATTTGCATGTTTCCATCCTGAAGCTGGGGCCTCCCCTCAACCCCAGCCCATGGCCCAGGTGTCCTTGCTTTGGTTGAGGTAGGGAGAAACTGACACCAGGGCAGGGTCAGGTGGCCTGCCCTGAGAATCCATGGCAGGGGGATAGGCATTTGAGGGACATGCGTGCACCCAGATACTTATGGAGGTCATAACAGGGGGCGGAGGGGAGGAGGAGGAGAGCCCTACTCAGCCTAGTCCTTGCAAGGCCTCCTTCCTGGTGCTCCCAGGGGAGGCAGAGGCAGCCTGGGTAGCCAGGAACGTTTGCTGAGCTGAGCCTCTCTCCACGCCTCTCCCACAGAAGTCCTGGCGAAAGGTATGGGCCCTGCTGTACGCGGGCAGCTCGTCAGGCGTGGCTCGACTGGAGAGCTGGGAGGTCCGGGACGGGGGTCTGGGGCTGACATGCGACAGGGCCACAGGACCCAGCCGGCGAGGGGAGCGCCGGGTCATCCGCCTGGCTGACTGTGTGTCCGTGCTGCCCGCCGATGGCGAGAGCTGCCCCCGGGATACTGGGGCCTTCCTGCTCACCACCACCGAGCGAAGCCACCTGCTGGCAGCGCAGCACCGCCAGGCGTGGATGGCCCCCATCTGCCAGCTGGCCTTCCCGGTGAGTGTGGGCAGGTGGACGCGTGCTCCGGGGGCGGGGGCGGGGGCGCTGGCTGGGGCCACCTCATCCCACATAGCCTGTCACTCAGCAAACACGTGAACAGCAAGGTTGGGAAGCAGCCCGGAAGCTGTACAGCGACCCTCAGCTGGAAGATAAAGAAGTGTAAGGTGGCGTTGGAGTTGCCAGGGGAATGCCAGGCAGGCCCCCTGGAGGAGGGGACGGTGGACCTGAGTGCTTACTGACCAGTCACCAGGCGAAGGTCTGTGCGTAAGAAAACAGCATGAGCAAAGGCCCTGAGGCAGGGGAGAAAATAATGTGTTCAAGGGCCAAGAAAGCAGGCTGGTGTGGTGAGAGGGTGAGGACTGGGGAGGAGAGTGGGAGGGGCCAGGCAGAGACTGGTGGGAGCCAATGAAGACCCCACATGTGGCCAGGTGCAGCTTGGGATTTTATTCCACGTGAAAGAAGCCTGGGAGAGTGTAAGCCAGACTATGAGCGTTGTAAAAGAATATAGGGCCCGTGGTGGTTCCCCAGAAAGCTAAATGTAGAGAGACCAGAAGACTCAGCCATCCCAGCCCCAGGTGCAGACCCGAGGTGTTCCCACAAGGCTCCCGCATGAATGCTCACAGCAGCAGGCCCACAACCCCCAAGTGGCTGTCAGCTGCCAAACACAAGGGTCTGTGCACACAAGGGGGTGGATATTGTGTGAGCATGGGAAGGAAGGTGGTCAGGACATGTGCTACAGCACGGATCAGCCCTGGACACACACCCGTCCACGTGGAGCATAGCTTACAGACCGTAGGGGCAGAACACAGAGCCATGGCTGCCAGCAGGGGGGAGTGGATGGGCCCAGGGTTCCCACTGGGTGATGAAGACGTACTGCAACTGGAGGATGACGATGCAACTGCATGACTACTGAAAACCACTGGATTATACACGCTAGTTATCATGGTAAACCCGTGTGGTTTGGTTTCTTTCTTTATTTTATTTTTTTTTTTTTTGTAAGATTGATTTATTTTGAAAGTCAGTTATAGAGAGGGAGAGACAGAGAAACTTTTCATCTACTGGTTCACTCCCTAAATGGCCAAAACGGTCAGAGCTGGGCCAGGCCAAAGCCAGGAGCCTAGAACTCCTACGTGGAAGACAGGAACCCAAGCACTTGGGCCCATTTTCCTGCTGCCTTCCCAGGCACGTTAGCAGGGAGCTGGATCCAAAGTGGGGCAGCCAGGACCAGAATTGGTGCTCTGATTAGGATGCCAGCATTGCAGGCAGCAGCTCGCCCACAAGGCCAGCCCAAGGTTTTGTATATTTTATTTATTTATTTATTTTTTAAGAAAATGAACAGAAACAAGGAGACCTATGAGGAAGCTGTTGCCCTTGACCCTGGCCATGCTCTTTGGGCCAAAGTGGTCATGGTGGAGGTGCTGGGAGTGAGAAACAGTTGGAAGGACACGCTCAAGGCCTAGGGCATTCAAGGTTAAGGGCGGCCTGTGGACAGTGTGGGAGCCTTGCTCCCTGGCCAGCTCCCACCCACGTTCCACATCTAAACTTATGACCCCCCCCCTTTTTAAAGATTTATTTATTTATTTGAAAGTCAGAGTTACACAGAGAGAGAGAGAGAGAGGTCTTCCATCAGCTGGTTCACTCCCCAGATGGCCGCAATGGCCGGAGCTGCACCGATCCGAAGCCAGGAGCCAGGAGCTCCCTCCAGGTCTCCCACATGGGTGCAGGGGCCCAAGGATTTGGGCCATCTTCTACTGCTTTCCCAGGCCATAGCAGAGAGCTAGATCGGAAGTGGAGCAGCCAGATCTTGAACCGGCACCCGTAGAGGATGCCGGCGCTTCAGGCCAGGGCGTTAACTTGCTGCACCACAGCGCTGGCCCCAAACTTCTGCCCCTTGGATGCACCAAGACATCAGGGCCCCAAGGGCTGGCCCAGTCCCTAGCTAAGCGCCTGCACCTCTCACCCACTGGATGTAGCTCTTTAGCCCAGCTCACCACCCTCAAGGGGGAGCCCCATGGAAACAGCTCAGAGGGTGCCTGGGGTCACCCAGCATATGGGGGGCAGCACTGGGATGGCACCTAGGTCCTTGGATGCCCTTGCTTGTCAGGATACTGACCTTGGAAGCACAGGGGAGGAGCGGGGGTGGATGCTGACCTCTGACCTACATGGTCCCCCAGGGCACAGCGGAGCCTTCCTCGGGACCAGGGGAGCTTGCGTCACCTAAGAGAGGCAATATCCCCATGGAGGAAAACTCCATCTACTCCTCCTGGCAAGAAGGTAAGCCAAGGCAGGGGAGGCCAGGGCGGCGTGAGCCCTGGCACGTGCAGGGCTGGTGCTCTGGAGGACTGACAGGGTGCCCTGGCCGCCTGCCTGCAGTGGATGAGTTCCCAGTGGTGGTGCAGAGAGGCGAGGCTGCCATGCGCTGCCAGCTACAGGGCCCCTACGTCCTGGTGCTGGGCCAAGACGCCATCCAGCTAAAGGGCTCTTCCGGTGCCCAGGCCCTCTACAGCTGGCCCTACCACTTCCTGCGCAAGTTTGGCTCTGACAAGGTGAGTTGTGGGCACGGGAGACGGGGCAGGGGGTGGCCACCCTCCCCACCCCCTGCCGTGGGAACCTGCAGCCAAGGGTAAGGGGTGGCCAGTGCCCGGCCGCTGACCCCCTGCTCTTGTCGCCTGCACCCAGGATGTGTTCTCCTTCGAGGCCGGGCGCCGCTGTGACTCCGGGGAGGGACTTTTCGCCTTCACCAGCCCTCGCGCTCCTGACCTGGGTAAGGCTGTGGCTGCTGCCATCGCCCGCCAGCGGGAGAGGCTACCTGAGTTGGCTGGGCCCCGGCCCTGCCCCCTGCCGCGGGCCACCTCCTTGCCCTCCCTGGATGCCCCAGGAGAGCTCCAGGAGGTCCTGCCAGGGCCCAGGCCGCCCACCTCCAGGAGGGCACACAGGGCCGACCCCGGGCCCCAGAGCCTCCCACTGCTGCTGGGCCCTGAGCCCGATGAGCCGGCCTCCAGGCTGTATGCCTCCGTGTGCAAGCGGGCCAGCGGGCCCTCGGATACCACGGAGCACCTCTACGAGAACATTTGCTTGCTGGACGCCAGCCCTGGGCTGCCCGATGCAGGCCCCAAGTCCCTGGAGGGCAGTGGTGGCTGCAGCCCCTCAGCCAGCTCCATCTACCACAACAGCGAAGACCTGAGCTGGCCCAGCCCGGCCCCGGACGTGAGTCTGGAGACCCAGTACCGCCGGCTGCTGGAGCTGGAACTGGACGAGGCCGGGGGCCCCGGCCGCCCTGGGGCTCAGGCGGGCTTCAAGGCCAAGTTAGTGATGCTGCTGAGTCGGGAGCGGAGGAAGGGCCCTGCCCCCTGTGACCGGCCCTGAGCGGACACACCCCCACAGTCACTCTGGCCTGCCTGCAGGGACCAGGCAGGGGCACCTGGGAAGCGACTCACCCCTGCCCTTCCTGCCCCTCATTCAGTGAACACAGTCTCTGATGAAGCTCGCTGGGGCCGGCTCCCCTGGCTTCCGCCTCGTAGCCTGCAGTCCAGCCACCCTCACTTCAGCTTCCTGGTTGCCTTTCATGGGTTGCCACGGGCACACAGACCCTCTTGTTCACTGTGGCAAACGCTGGTAGCGCCCTGGGGACAAGGTGAGCTGGGCCTGACCTCTGCTGCCAATGGCTCAGATGTACCCGAGCAGCCGGGCAGGGTGCAGACAGGGCCCCATGTGGCAGGAATGACAGGACAGCCAGGTGGGGCCCTCAGCAGGGGGTGGGCAGGGTTGGCAATGAGCAGGCTGTCCAGGCTGAGGATGGCATGCATGGGCCAGAGCCAATGAGGACTGGACACAGAGGTGCTCTGGGGCAGAGGGGAGAGAGGCAGACAGGAGGGTCTGCGCCTAGCCCTGCAGCCTACTAGGTCTCATCCTTGGGTGAGGAGCATGGATAGACTCAGGAAGCAGCTATGGGGAGGCTGAATTTGTGGGCATGAAACGGGCGATCAGGAAGCCCAAACTGGGGAGAAGTTGGAAAAAGCTTAAATCAGGACACGCAGGGCGGGTTAAGCCCCTGCTGGGGACCACGGCATCCCTTGTCACAGCAGAGTCCCAGTGGCCCTGCTCTCACCCACCTCTCTGCTAACAGCCTGGGAAAGAGCAGAGGATGGCCCAAGGGCTTGGGTCCCTGCCACCCACCTGGGAGACTCAGATGGAGTTCCTGGTTCTTGTCTTTGGCCTGGCCCAGACATGGCTGCTGTGGGCATTTGGAGAGTAAGCCAGGGCCTGCAGTGCCGGCATCCCATGTGGCTGCCGGTTCGAGTCTCCGCTGCTGCACTTCCAATCCAGCTCTCTGCTATGGCCTGGGAAAGCAGTAGACAATAGCCCAAGTCCTTGGGCCCCTGCACCCGTACGGGAGCTCCTGGCTCCTGGCCTCGGATCAGCACAGCTCTGGCTGTTGTGGCCAACTGGGGAGTAAACCAGCGGATGGAAGACCTCTCTTTCTCTCTCTCTCTGCCTCTCCTTCTCTCTCTATGTGACTCTGACTTTCAAATAAATAAATCTTAAAAAAAAAAAAAGTTATGACACCCAAAACACTTGTTCCTTGCTGCAATTCAACTCACAGACTTTGGGGGGACCCTCAGGGCTCAGCTTCCTCAAGTGTAAATTACATATTAGGTCTGTTCCTTTAGGGAGTCTTACTGCACGCCCACCTGTGCCAACGGTGTAGCCCGCTAATAGCTCTCCCCAAACGGCACCTTCACTGCTGGGACGGCCATCTTCACGACTCCTCCCGCTGCGTCCTCTCCGCCCCCATCACCTGCAGTGCCCCTCGCTGCTTTCCCGGGAGGCCCCTTGCATGGGTCCACCCTTGTCCCGCTTGGCTCCTGGGCTCCACCCCTCGTGCGCTGTCCTTACGTGGACTTGCCTTGCGGGCAGAGCCCGGTCTCCTCCGCGCCTGCGTGCTGGCCTCGGCGCACAGCCCCCGGGTGCGGGGGGGGGGGCGGGGGGCGGGGGAGAGCGTGTGAGCGGGATGGCCACGCCCCCTCCCACACGGGCTGGCCCTCCGTGCTTCCCAGGGACCCTTGGCTCCGGCTGGCAGCTTCTCTCCACCCAGAGACTTCTGCGTTTTCTCCTCTCCACCCTCGCCCTCTCTACCTGTCCGTGATGGCCTCCCACCACACCTGGACGTCCGCCCCCTGCCCGTCCCCCTGCACGCTCTGATCCCAGCTCCTCTCACCTCCCTCTCCCGGCCCCTTCCCCACCCGCACACAGGTGGGACGAGCCTTCCCTGGCCTCACGTGCCGCCCCCCAGCTGCCTCCCCTTTCCGGTCCTCTGATTGCCTTGTTCCCCAGGACGACAGCATCTTAAGTGCTGGGCTAAATGCCTGCCCTGGAAATGGTTGTAGAAGGCTCATGCCTGCGCCCACACCCAGGGACTCTCAGTACATCAGCTGGGTAGGAGGAGCCTGCGCATCAGCGCTTAGATTTTGATTTCTCAAAAATCAAAATGCGGGTGAGTGCACCCAAAATTGAAAGCCACGGTCTTCAGGCTTCACAGATCATCTTAATGCTGACGGCTCCCAAAGGCCTAGCTTCAGCACGGGCCTCTCCCCAGAGTGCAACGGTATACTGGACACCCGGACATCTAAAAGGCATCTCCAGCTGTAATGTGTGAGGTGGGGGTGGGGGCTTCCTGCAATACTCCCTCTCTGTGCTGCGGAATAATGTCCACGGGGAGGCAGCTTTCTGCCTCATGCATGCAAATCCTTCCTGACGGGTAAAATCTCACAGTAAGTTAAGGCTAAGAGCTCCTGGTCAGGGTGGCTGCAGCAGGGACCTCCATCATGCCTGGCGGCAGGTCTGAGCCCAGTGCTCACTCTGACCCAGCGACTCAGGCTCATGACCCAAACTGGAACCTGGACTCTGGCGTCCTTTACTTTTTTATGAGCCCAGGTGTCTTTGTGTCCTAATGAATTCTGCGGTGGTCCAACCAGCCTGCTGTGCACAAGAAAATCCTTGGAAACCTCCAGGACCCTAGAGGCCTTGCCTGGAGCGGCAGGAGTCCAAGCCACCAGGGAGCGCTGTGTCCTAGCCCAGGCCCTGTTCCCTCCCCTGAGCTGTGTGTGTCTCAAGGCTCCCGCTCCACCCAGCCCTGTGAGGACCCCCAGGCTACCACGACTTTGCCCGTTTGCTGCTTCCCCCCCCCCTTTTTTTTTTTTTGACAGGCAGAGTGGACAGCGAGAGACCGAGAGAAAGGACTTCCTTTTGCCGTTGGTTCACCCTCTAATGGCCGCCGCAGCCGCCGCACAACGCTGATCCGAAGCCAGGAGCCAGGTGCTTTCTCCTGGTCTCCCATGCGGGTGCAGGGCCCAAGCACTTGGGCCATCCTCCACTGCACTCCTGGGCCACAGCAGAGAGCTGGCCGGGAAGAGGGGCAACCGGGACTAGAACCCGATGTGCCGGCGCCGCAGGTGGAGGATTAGCCTAGTGAGCCGCGGCGCCAGCCACCTGCTTCCCTTTCTCAATCTGTTCTTCATCTGCTCATTCACACTGCATGCAGGTACACAGCGACATGCGGGACAAGACACAGAGTCCTGGTCTCCGGGTGTGGGGAGCAATCCGGACTAGACTAGGTTACTCGAATTAAGACTTATTCTATGCATCTGCTCTCCCACAATATGGCGCTGGGAGAGAAGTAAACAGCTTCTGCACAGCTGCCTCCAGTTCAACTAATAAATTGTAGGACTTGCTCCTGATTGGAGGAGAGCAGCGTACTCGGCGTGTGGGCAGCCGAGTTGGGATTGGCGGAGGAGGACTATAAAGGAGGAGAGAGACGGCATGCACGGGGAACATCTATGGGGAACATCTAAGGGAACCCGTGCAGCCCCCGAGAGAACCGGCCGGCGGTGTGCCGCTCCCCTGCGGAAGTGGGGAATGTGGCCAGGGGGAACTGCCCTTCCACGGAGGTGGAAGGGATAGTAGCCAACCCGGGAAGAACCAGCAGCAAACCCGGGGAGGGCCGAGCAGACGAAAGAACAGCGCAGGGTCCTGTGTTGCTCCTCCACGAAGAGGGGGAGCGACATAATGGTGCCGTGACTCGGATATGAAGCCTAGGCAGGGCTTAGTGTCGTTCCTCCACGAAGAGGGGGAGCGACACCGGGGACTGACATTCTGATGGGAACAGGCAACAACTAAGAAACAAACATGGCACAGTGGGTAAAGCTGCCGCCTGCAGTGCCGGCATCCCATATGGGTGCCGGTTTGAATCCCAGCTGCTCCACTTCTGAGCCAGCTCTCTGCTATGGTCTGGGATAGTAGGTAGAAGATGGCCCAAGTCCTTGGGCCTCTGCACCCATATGGGAGACTCCGAAGAGGCTCCTGGTTTTGGACTGGCCCAGCTCTGGCTGTTGCGGCCATTTGGGGAGTGAACCAGTGGATGGAAGACCTCTGCCCCTGCCTCTCTGTAACTCTGCCTTTCAAATAATCTGTTTTTTTTTTGAAAGACACAAATGTTTAACATCAGAGGGTGGAAAGTGCAAGGGGATAAGAGGGGCGGGTGTTGGGCACAGAGGCTAAGTCCCCCCTCTTGGGGCACCCCACGCCCCTCATCAGGGTGCCTGGTTTGGCTCCATCTACTCTTCTGATTCAGCTCCCTGTTAATGCACATTCTGGGAGGCAGCAGTTGATGGTTAAAGTCCTTGGGTCCCTGTCACCTATGCGGGAGACCTGGATGGAATTCCGGGCTTCCGGCTTCAACCTGACCCAGCACTAGCTGTTTTGGACATTTTGGGGGTGAACCAGCAAATGGAATAAAAACTTTAAAAGCAGGGTAAAAGGACCAGTGTGTACTGTGAATTGCTGTTACAGATGGTGACCAGGGAAGACCCCTTAGAGCAGGCAGCATCTCAGCGGAGACTTGAGCAAACTGAAAGCAGCCAGAATGATCCGTGTAAAGGCCCTGAGGCCAGAACATCCTTGGCACATGGAGGAACAGTGAGGAGGCCACCTGGCTAGAGCAGAGTGAGCGAGCAATGGGCCCTGTTTACTACGGTTATATGAGTCTTCTTTATTTATTTGAAAGTCAGAGTTACACACAGAGAGAAGGAGAGGCAGAGAGAAAGAGAGAGAGAGAGGTCTTCCATCTGCTGGTCCACTCCCCAGATGACTGCAACGGCCAGAGCTGGGCCGACCCGAAGCCAGGAGCCAGGAGCCAGGAGCTTCTTCTGGGTCTCCCATGTGGGTGCAGGGGCCCAAGGACTTGGGCTATTGTCTACTGCTTTCCCAGGCCATAGCAGAGAGCTGGATCGGAAGTGGAGCAGCCAGGTCTGGAACCAGCGCCCATATCGGCTTTATCTGCTATGCCACAGCGTGGCCCCCAAGTTACATGAGTCTTAAGGCTTAGTTTTGAGCCTACTGGAATGCTAAAAGCTGAGTGTGAGTTCCCTTTAACAGTATCAGTTGAGCTGGTCCTTGGAGAAGGCCCCGGAGGGGACCAGGGTGAAAGCAGGGGCCCATTAGGAGACTGCTACAGGTCACCAGGAACAACCGGGGCCGCAGCGACCAGTGCGTGCCCCTCTAGGACTGGGGGCCGCGGAGGGGCGTGGGTTCAGGAGAGAATGTCTGTAAAGCGGAGGAGCGTGGGCGCCGGGCGCTCACCACGGTGCATGCGCTGCGCGTGGGGCCGGGCTCCGAGCTCCGGAGACCGGCGCGAGGCCGAGCCGAGGACGCCCTCCAGCTTCGTCCACTCAGGTTGTCCACGGCAAATGCAGCTGCACGGTCACTCCTCGTCCCTCTCATCCTTCCTCACCCCGACGCCCCCATACCGACCCTCTGGCAACCCCAATTGGGGAGCACTAGCGCCCCATTTTCCCGAGGACACGGCTAACGTCCAGTGGGGCCTGGCTTCGAAGGTCTCTCTCCCCTGCTGGCGGGAGGCGCAGGGGGCGGGGCGAGGCGTGGGCGGAGCAAAGTCCTCCCGACGCGGCGTCCCGCAGCCAGGCCCCGCCCAGGCCCTGCCCCGCTCAAGGAGAAGGGGCGGGCAGCGCCGTGTGCTCAGAGCCAGACGGGGCTTCGTGATTGGACAAGGCGGAAAGCTTGGGTGGGGCTCTCCCCCGGCAGAGCGACCGCCTGTGGGTGTGGACACGCGGAGGGCGTGGTCTCCCACTCCGCCCCCTTCCACAGGCTCAAAGCGGGCGGTGTCCGCGGGGGCGGGGCCAGAACGCGGTCTGCCGATCCGATTCCAGCGCGGCTCCTAGGAGCCCGCCGCGGAGCAGCGCCCCGGCGGGGCAGAGCAGGTACCGGCGGACGCGCGGGGCTCTTGGTCCGAACCAGGCGGGGGCCGGGGGCCTTCTGAAGACTACGGAGCGCACTGGGGGTCTTGGCCGGCGCTGGGCCTGCTCCTGCGGGTTCGGCCCCTGCCTCCGCCCCCGCCCCCGCCTTCCTGCGGCGAAGCCCGCTTGTGGCGGGGCCGGTTGGCGCCTGCGCCGCTGCATGGTGCCTGGGCTGGGGGCTGGAGGGAAACTGAGTCACGGCAGGGCGGGCACAGTCCTGTGCGGGAGGCACCAGCGTAGCTCCCCTTCCTGGCCACGTTTTGGGGTCCCCACTGCTCTCCGCTGGAGACTCGTCCCACTCCTGCCCCCAACCGCTCAGAGCGCCCAAGGGGTCCCG